TCTCTGAAGGGTGCGGGATTCATCTATAGGGTTCGCGCACGGTGGGTCCGAGAGCCGGGTCGGCCACCGGCGCGCGCTGCGTGGCTCGTCAGGCGGCCGCCAGAGGCCCCCGAGCCATCGCTCCCCATCCCTCCCCATCCCTCCCCATCCCTCCCCATCCCTCCCCATCCCTCCCCATCCCTCCCCACATCTCCCCACATCTCCCCCCCAAGGCGGTCGCCGCCGCCGCCGGCTGCCACATCGTCCTGCCCGGCTACTTCACTCCGGGCGGCATGGGCTTCTGCGAGCTACAGCCGAGAGACAGCCGAGAGGCAGCCGAGAGGCAGCCGAGAGGCAGCCGAGAGGCAGCCGAGAGGCAGCCGAGAGGCAGCCGAGAGGCAGCCGAGAGGCAGCCGAGAGGCAGCCGAGAGGCAGCCGAGAGGCAGCCGAGAGGCAGCCGGGAGACAGCCGACACAAGTGTCTGCCTTCAGGCGAGCTGCGCAACTCGCGCGGCGCGACGATGTACTTTCTGCCGTGGCTGGGCAACACGGTGGTTGGCTCGACCGACAAGAAGTGCGACGCGACCTCCTCGCCGCACGTCACGGAGGACGAGATCCAGTACCTCGTCAACGAGGCGGAGATAGCGGGAGATGTGGGGAGATGTGGGGAGATGTGGGGAGAGACTTCGTGAAGCCACAAGAGCGGGGGTCTGCTCACAGGCGTGAAGGGGAGAGATGGGGAGAGATGGGGGGATGTGGGGAGGTATGGGGGGATAGGGGGAGGTCTGGGCATAGGCGGCGTCGTGCCTCTCTTCCGACATCCGCCTCCGCCGCTCCGACGTCATCTCTGCGTGGCAAGGGTGGAGGCCCCTCTACCGAGACCCGAACGCGCCTCCGGGCGCGCCGGTCTCCCGCCACCACGCCCGCGCTGTCTGTCCTTTCCTATGCTGTTTCTCTTTCCTCCGATAGACGCGCCGGTAAGCCGCCACCACGCCATCGGGCACGACGAGCACACGGGCGTCTCCTCCCTCTGCGGCGGGCCGCTCTGGTATGCCTCACTCCGAGCCCGCTCTTCTTTTTCCCGCAGGCGCCTCCCCTTTTCTGCGGCGGGCCACACGCGCCTCTCTTGTGGGCTTCGATCCCTCTCTGTTTTCTTTTTCTGCAGGCGTGTCCTTCATCTGCGGCGGAAAGTGGTCCACCTACCGCGCGATGGCGGAGGAGCTCATCGACAAGGTTGCCGAGATTCCCCGAGATTCCCCGAGATTCCCCGAGATTCCCCGTTTCCCCTCGGTTCCCCTCGGCTCCCCTCGGCTCCCTCTCGGCTTCCCCTCGGCTCCCTTCGGCTTCCCCTCGACCTCCCCTCGACCTCCCCTCGACCTCCCCTCGACCTCCCCTCGACCTCCCCTCGACCTCCCCTCGACCTCCCCTCGGCCTCCCCTCGACCTCCCCTCGACCTCCCCTCGACCTCCCCTCGACCTCCCCTCGACCTCCCCTCGACCTCCCCTCGACCTCCCCTCGGACCACTCGACAGGTGGTCGCCTTCAAGGGCGCTCCGCTCGCCCACGCGAAGCCCTGCGTCTCCAAGGACATCCCTGCTCGGCGGCGAGGGCAATCTCGGGCAACCTCGGGTGATCTCGGGTGATCTCCCCGCAGGAGATCAAGCTGCTCGGCGGCGATGGCTTCCACTCGCTGCTGCACGTGCAGCTCGTGCAGGCGTACAACGTCTCCACAGAGGTTGCCAAGCACCTCTGCCATGCCTACGGCGCGCCGCAGCCTCCCACGAGACGCCACGAGATGCGGGGAGATGCGGGGAGATGCGGGGAGTTGCGGGGAGATGCGGGGAGATGCGGGGAGATGCGGGGAGATGCGGGGAGATGCGGGGAGATACGGCGGACTGCTCAAGGGTAGGCACCGCAGCTTTCCACGTCTGCGAGCTAGCGCAGCCATCCTTGTCGGGCGCGCGGCTGCAGCGCACCGTCTCGCGCGCGGGCGTGCCGACCGACGGCGGCGGCCACATGGGCCGCCGAGACTCGCCCAGCTGCCCGCGCGTCGTCTTTCTTTTCTCCGACGCCGTCTCTTTTTTTCTTCTAGGCCGCCGCATCTCGCCCAGCTACCCGTACATCGAGGCCGAGGTCCTCTACGCGTGCCGGCGAGAGACATAGCCGAGAGATGTCCGAGAGATGTCCGAGAGAGATGTCCGAGAGATGTCCGAGAGATGTCCGAGAGATGTCCGAGAGACGTGTCCGTGAACTCCAAGACACGTCCAAGACACGTCCATGTCCGCGAGCCCTCCTCGACATGCCCGTGAGCCTCCAAGACGCCTCCAAGACATGTCCGCGACACGTCCGCGACACGCCCCGCAGGCACATGTCCAGGAGAGGCCCAGGAGGGGTCCAGAAGAGGTCCAGGAGGTGTCCAGGAAGTGTCCTGTAGGCACGAGCTCGCGGTCAGCGTGAAGGACATGCTGACGACCCGGATGCGGCTGGCCTTCCTCAACTCCGAGGCACGCACACACACACCGCTCACCCACGCGCACTGGGCCTTGCGCTCTGAATGCCGTGGGGCTCCTGTCGTCAGACGTGGAGACGCGAGGGTTGCCCCCCCTTGCCCCACCACCTCGTGTGTGTGGAGAAGTTTACCTTCCCTTACCCTAGGCGGCGAAGCAAGCCATCCCGCGGGTGGCGGCGCTGATGGCGGAGGAGCTCGGCTGGTCCAGCGCGGAGAAGGCGAGGCAGATCAAGGTTGCGCAAGAGTACATCGGCGAGTTCGGCGGGCCCGTCGCCGACAAGCGCGGCGCCACACTCAAGGCGGCCACCTCCACCGACCCGCGGCACATTTCTTTTTTTGCGAGACCAGTTTGTCTTCTGTTTTCTAGGCGGCCACCTTCACCGACCTGCACGACATCTTCCTGTCGGTCGACAAGGCGAACGCCGTGGGGCCTCGACGAGCCGCACACGCTTCTTTTCCCTGGGAACGTGTTTCTTTTCCTAGGCGAACGCCGGGTACCTCGACGAGAAGCAGCTCGGAGAGGCGGCCGCCAAGCTGGGCTTCCCCTTCCGCAGCGACGAGCACCGGCGGATAAAGTTCAAAGAGGCGGACCGCTCGGAGAACGGCAGAGGCGCGCTCGCGTTTCTTCTTTCGTGCGCACGCTTGTTGTCGTCCTTTTTTCTAGGCGGACCGCTCGGAGAACGGCAAGCTCTCCGAGGACGGGGGCCAATCGAGAGCGGCCCGGCACTGGGGCGGGGCGTCGTCCTCTCACGCGGCGGTGTCTGCGACTCTAGGCCGAGTTCATCGAGTGGTGGAACGGGCGCAATTCGGAGAAGAGCCGGCTCGCCCTCCACAAGACGGTCATGCTCGACGCGGCGAGCGAGGTCGCCATCGACAAGTCAAACGCGTCGGCAAAGTGAGCGGGCTCGCCTCGCCGACCACCCACCGAGCGCCGCGCCGGCACCGCAGCTCGGGCGCAGCACGCGTGCACTCGCACTCTGTCGCAAGCCGGTGCGGCGGAACCGCAGCAGGCAAGGCGGCGCACCCGCGTCACTTGCGCGCGCTGCTGCGCGCACCGCCCCACGCGCCGGCACCTCTATTGTCGCGAGCTGCGTCTCTATTGCGTTGACTATTCCATTGTCCGTCTTGGTACCCGCCACGGCCATCGTGCATCGACCAGACACGGTGGTCGTACAGTCGGTAAATCGTCACATGAAAGGTATATACGACGGGGCGGACACGGGCGTGGGTACGCGGAAACCGCGCCGCTCACACGCTGTCAGACCGTACACAGGTCGGAGATGAGCCGACACACGCGGTATACTCCTGGACGACACGAGGCTAATCCCCGCCGCCATCATGCCCAACTCCTGGACGACGAGGCTAATCCCCGCCGCCATCATGCCCAACCCATAGGCTCTCTGGCGCATCATCGACGTAGAAGTGCGCGCGCAGGCACACTGAGGCTCGCAAAACCCACAGCGGCGAGCGGGTGCGTGGCACGGCCCCGGCACTCTCGTGCGGGTGCCGTCGTCTCTCGGTTGATGTCGTGGCCTGAGCAGGCTCCAAGCCCCTCGGCTGCGGCATGCTACGGCAGCCGCATATGCAGCACGTTCGGCACGCCGGGGTGCTTTGTCACAGAGCCGGGCGTCATCCGCCGCACTGTGATGCTCCCGAGCCCTCGCTCGACGGGGCTGCTGTCGTCGTCTGGCGTGGTGTGGAGGGCGAACGCCGGCACCGGCGAGGGCGTGCTGGGAGGAGCCGCGGTATCGCGATTCCTCCGCTGCTGCTGCTGCCACGGAATGGGCGTGCTCGCGATTGGGCGGGACATGGCGTGTATCGGGAGCAGCGGCGGCGTCACTCCAACTGTGAGTCGCCTCGTCCTCCTGCAGGCGAGGCGCGGAGACGGTCATCGTGGTGGCGGGTGGCGGTGGAGGGTGGCGGTGGAGGACGCTGGTCGAGGGTGGCGGTGGAGAGTGGCGGCAGTGGTGGCGGGTGGCTAACGTGGAGGCTCCGATGCCGCGCGAGGGAACGACCGGTGGGCGACTGGGTGGGCTGAGCGGGAGATCTCAACCCCTGTCGCGCGACTGTGCAGTGTGACACCCAAAAGGTGTTGGACAACGGTGACACGAGGGCTGGGGGTGTGAAGGGCATAACCATGGTTGCGTGCAGACAATGGAGATAGAGCAGCCCCGGAGCGGAGGCCCGCCCGGGGTATTCAGTGTGTCGCGGGCGCCTAATCGGGATTAATTCCGTCGGGCGCCTACGAATTTACGTTTGCCGTCGGTGTTTCGCAAGCGCGCCTGGCGGCGGCTTGTGCTATGCCTGCTTTGGAGCCCGACGGGAACGCGGGAGCTATGGTCTGGGACATGGGCTGGCCTTCGTGGGGCCAAGGCTTTGCCTCGGTGCCCGCAGTCGGTGCCCTTTGCCTCGTGTTGATGCAAGGCTTTCCGGGGCTAGTTGGCAACAACCTCACCATGGAGTCAGACCAACTCAGCCTACCCATTACGGTTGGCGGGGCCTCCGGCTGCGTCATGAGCGCAGCTCTCACCGCCACCAGCCCCTCCAAGTACCCCAGGGCGATTCTCGAGTTCGTCCTGCCCGCGCTCATTGTGACCACGGCCTACGTTCTGTTGCTGACAGGTGGGGGTGAGCACCACACCACGGGCGACAAGAAGGGGGGATCGCGACCCTCGACCACCAGGGGCAGCGACTACCTGTCCCTGCTCATCCCACGGTATGTGGGCCAATCGCGCCGGGCATTTATCGGGAGCCTCTTGTTCTTCCTCACGTTCCTGGTTGCAGCAGCAGATGCTGTGTGCCCGACGTGCGGCGGCAACCTCGCGTCGTGCGACTACGACACCTCCGAGACTTGCCCCGCCGCCACTGTCGTGGCTAACAACGCGAAAGTGCTCCTCGGCACGGCGGCGGTGAGCACCATGACCATCGCGAACCTGCTCCGACCACGGTTCCTGCGGGTCCTGGGAGGGGGAATGCTGCAGCGCTTTGTAGCCCTGCACCGCCAACCCGAGAAGGCCACGACTTTCGAGATCAAGCGGACCACAAAACCATCCGAGGTGACGGCGGCAATGCAAACTGGGAGAATCTCCCAGATTGACGCGGCGACACAGATCCAGCAAGTGATCGAAGAGATTGACCAGGCGATCGACACGGCGGGGGACGACGCCGCAAAGGCGCTGCTCGAGAGGGAGAAAGAAAAGTGGACGGACTACCTGAAAGGGGGCTTCAAATATGTCACTTCAGCGACCGAGTCTGACGGCCTCAGTGGACCAGAGGGGACGAGCGTCACCGGTTCCATGTCGCTGCTCTGGGCGAATGTCTCCACGTTCATCAGTCGGGGTGAGAGCTGCGATCGCGCAGACGTCACCACCGTGACCGGAAAGGGAGGCGGCACCAAGGCTACCATTGCCTATGTCAAGACGGAGGCGGAGTTTGCGGCGTGTCTGAACCTGTTTGTCATGTTGGCCATCGCCGTCTCTATCCCGGCCATCCCGCTGTGCGAGTTCATCTACCTCGTCGTGCACGACTCTGTGCTCCGTCGGGATCGCACCTGGCAATTTGCGGTCGTCCTGCTCGTCGTCTACCTGCGCAAGATCGAGGAGTCGGGCGGACGGATTACACTGGCCAAGGCAACAGAAGAGGTTCACACCGCCGCCATGTACGAGGAGGCCGAGCGAGTGATGCCAAAACACTATCCCGGGGTCGCATTTTTTCGTACACGCGGGGGGACCCCGCGGGCCGAGGGGCCACCAGCTACGCCACCATCTACGCCGAGCCCTGCTCCCCGTGTGGGGGGTGCTGGCCCGAGCAGCGTCAAGAAGCCATACAATGGCAAGTTCACTCCTGGAGGCAGGACGTGCTCGGCTTTCAACGTGGGTCGCGAGCACCAGGCGAGGGAGCTTTTCGCCGACGGCACCTGCAAATTCGACCACGTCTGCGACCACTGGGTCAACAACAAGGGCAAGGCGGGGCAGTGCCGCAACAGCGCGGGCACTCCAGGCCACAGTCGTGCTACTTGCGACAACCCCCACGGTTGCGACAATGCTCTCCCGTGAGGGAGATTGCGTTGCCCCCGCCGGGCACCCCTCGTGGACAGAAAGGACCGGTTCCGAGCCCTTTGACGCCTTGGCCGAACTTGCCGAGACTGTCAGGCGGGAGAACGCATGTGCGCTTCCTGGCGTGCCCATCGTCTACGATCGCTTCATGACGAGCCTGTTGAGGGCGACGTGTCGGGGATTCGTCACGGAGGAGAACTGTGCTTTCATTAAAGACGTCTTGACGTACGGGGCAAAACTCGGCGTTGACGTCGACCAAATGCAGGGCCACAGACATTTCCGGAACCATCCCAGCGCCATCGAGGCTCGGGAGGGCGTCTCACGCTCGCTCGGTAAGAGGGTGGCTGCGCAGAAGACTTTGGTGGTTGGGCCGTGGACGCGCGACTTGGCGAGGGCCGTGCGATGGGTCTCGTTGCTCAGATCCCAGCCGCGGTGAGCGGCGTCCTTCGGGCCGAAGGGGGCGGCGCCGCCGAGGGCGCCCAGCCCGCGGCGCGCAGCGCCTCCGCCCCTGCCGAGCGCGGCCCGCCTGCGGTGCGGCTTACACGCGAGGCGCTGCAGGGTGGTGGCTCGGCCGCTGCCACAGCAAGCGGCGCGGTCGCGGCGGTCGACGGGCGGGTCGAGGGCCCAGCGAACGTGGTGCCTGAGGGGGGCGACGAGGCTACTTGATCTCCGCATATCTGATCTCCGCATATCTCCATATCGTTTAAGGCGCAGACAGCCGCGAACTAATTCTTTCCGTGCGCCAAAGCCGTGCCGAGCAGCCCGTCGCGCGTGTGCCAGGGCTGCCTGCGTCGCGTGCGCGCGGCTCGTCGGCGGCCGGAGCGTGCACAGCGGAAGGTGGATCAGTCAGCCACGCGTGCCACCACGTGGCGCTGCGCAGTCTCATGTCCCACATGCACGCATGCAGCGCCCCAGCGGCAGGTGGAGTGGCTCACTGCATAGTCGGCGATGCTCGAGACTTCATTACCAATCCCACCGTCGCTGATGGCCTTCGGTCCTCGCAGATCGACGCACTCGGAGGAGATGGTGCAAGCAGAGTCTTTCTCGTCCTCGGCATAGGAGGCTGTCATGGCAACGAACGCGACGCCACGCGTTGTGAGAGGCAGCTTCAGGCTCCAGTGAGTGCGATGGCACGTGCGCTTGCGATCGTAAATGCCACACACACCGAGCTGCAGCCTCATCGAATTGGCATCGCAGCGCCGACCCATGGCTGCACGCTGGGCTCAAGCCGTGCAAGCAGCGGATACTGGCAGTGGGAGAAAGTGCAAGCGTGCTACGAGCTGGTGCTGGCGCACGAGGCGAAATACTGCGCTCGGTTCTCGCACATCGTGCGGTCACGGCCCGACCTCACCTTTGGCCGGCCGCTACAAGATATTCGACACTACTCACAGACCGCCGTGACGGTCCTCCACCGACGTGGGGCATGGCTGGATGATCGCTTCGCCATTGTGCCACGCGCTCTCGCCGACGTCTACTTTCGCACGGTGCAGAGCTACTTCACGTGCCGCGACTGTGGCGTGTACCGGTCGGCGTGCAACTTATTTCAGAGCCTGGACAACTGCGCCTCGCTGCCACTGCGTGTCTTACCGGGTAGCCGATCGCCGGCATCGCCGCGTAGCCACCATGTTGGCAGCGAGTGCCTCCTCGGAGTTTGGCTCCAGGAGCACACCGTGCAAGTGGACGTGGATAAGGCCATGTCATTTGATCATCGCGGAGCGTCGCTTCCAAAAGTAGATGAGCCGAGGGCAAGGGCGAGGGCGAGGGCAAGGGCGAGGGCTCATATCGCAGGCTTGAGAGAGAGACCTACCTAACCTAACCTTGAGAGACGCGGGAGAGGTAGCCCTATTTTCGGTGTATAAAGTTAGCGCAGGGTGTGAGCGTAGACGGCGAATTCTTTCCGTGCAACGCCGGAGCACGGCTGTCTGGTGTAGCCCCGGCCGACTCCGTTACTCTTGAGGAAGGATATAGAGTTGCGGAGCTCCCTGCTGCACGGTGTGGACTCTCCTCTTCAGAAAAAGAAAAAGACGAGGCGGCGCGGGGGAGGCGGTGAGAGCCGCCACACGGACCCGGACGCCAGCACACACGGGCTAGATATCACGACGGCTCGCGGAGCACGACGGCAAACGGACCCCCCAAAGAAGCTGGGGCTCCTGAATTGTTATGTGGAAGAGCAGCCGCGATGCGGCACACGCAGAGGGCGTCCTGGCGCGCACCAGCAGGCCAGGACCTCCTGCGCTTGTGCGCACGCTGCGCTCGCCAGAACTGCAGTGGGAGCCGCTCGTCGCCGATGACAAACGGCGGGCGTTTGCCTACGTGCTGCGCCGTGAGCGGCACTCCGGGCTGGACGCCGCTACTGTCGACGATTGGTTCGCCGCGCTTCACCCGGATGCTTGCGGGGCAGAGGCGTGGACAGACGCTCAGTCGCGAGGTAAGCCTTTGCTGCGCCGCACTGCGTGGGTCACATTCTTGCCCGAATGCTCTTGCGAGTATGGGTACGCCGACACCTGGCAGCTGCGCGCGACGGACGATGCCTTTGTGAGGACGTTGGAAGGCATCCGCACCACGGTGGCGGAGATTGTGGGCCTGCCCGCCGACTCCCTCAACTGCGTCAACCTCAACTACTACCCGTGCGGCGGTGGGGTTGGCTTTCACGCGGACGACGAGTTCCTGTTCGACGGGATGGAGCGCGAGGCGACGATCGTGTCGCTCTCGCTGTGCGCGCCCGGCGGCGGAGAGCGCCTCTTTCAGGTGCGGCGGAGGGACGGCGGCGCGGCGCACGAGACGGTGCTGCGGCACGGCGACCTGATGACGATGGAAGGGCTCTTTCAGCTCTTCTGGCTGCACTCGGTCTACCCGGGCGACCGCTGCGACGTGACGGACGATCCGCTGGTGCTCGGCGAGCGCATCAACCTCACCTTTCGCCGCATCGTCCAGCACCTGGACGGGTCCACGGAGTGTCGCGGACAGGTCTGCGCGCTCGCGTGCAACAACCGCAAAACGTCCGTGATATGAGATGTTTACATTTTAATCTGAGCTGCGTTGTATTCTCGCGAGGCCTGCACCGCTCCCTCGCCAAGCACGCCCCTGCCCACCGCCGCACCTCCTCGACCTCCCCACGGAGCTCCTCGTGCGCGCGCCGTCTCTCTCGCTGCGACAGCCCCACCCCCCGAGCACCGACATATCGCTCACGTCGCGGCCGTCTCGCTGGGCCAGCGTCGCTGGACGCTGCTCTTCCACACTCACCACCTGTCTGTGTGGGCGCGCCTTATTAATTAAATGGTGTGTACGGGCGGGCAAAACCATGCCAAGGCGCGCCTCCGGCTTTGCCGTCCTCTCTGGACTCAAAGACGGAAGCGACGAGCCGCCGTTCGAAGCCGCCGTGCCCAAGGCATCGAAAGGCATCAATGGACAATGCCGCACCTGGTTTGCAAACGTCAAGGAGCGTTCGGCCCTCTCCCGAGCCGCCGCCCGTCTTCCGCGTGCCAGCCGCCGCAGGCCATGGGCAATTCGCAATCCACAGGCTGCGCGGGGCTGAGGAGGAAACGCGCAACGAGAGAGACCCCTGTCTCTCTCCAACAGCTCGGCTGCGCCTTGGCCCCGTGGACGCACGTAGAACTTCACGTGACAAGGAGCTTCTAATGAAACCGAGCGGCGACTTGATCCTTCCCTCGGAACGTCGCCGCAAAGCATCTTATCTCCTGCGTTCGCATTTGGGCGGCCATCGCAACACTCCCTAGCTCAACTGTCGACCCTAACGGGTCGCCAGCCGATCGTCATAAGCCACTTCTCAACATACCCAAGTTCGAGGATAGCCAAGAGGTCGAGGCGCAACTTATGCGTGCTGGATTGCGGGCAATCCCGCAGGAGCTTACCTACATTCCCACCTTCAATGGCGCAATTCAAACGATTTGCACCAATCAGCGCGCGGTGGCGGACCAGCGCGAAGACGAGCGCAACGCGCTGCGCCCCAAACTCGTCGCCGCACTCGTGGGAGATGACATGGTCAACGCGTGTCTGGCGTCAAAGCTGAGCTACGAGGCGGATCCGATGGAGGCTTTGCGCGGGGCATGTCCAAGACATCCCTCAACCATGGGCTCAGTTTCGTGCGGGCAGGAAACAATCTGCAGCCGCAACAGTACCAGTCCGTCTACTACTTTGCATTCCGAGGCACACAAGACATGGCGGACATGCCAACGTGGTTGCTTCTGCGCAGATGGAGGGTGGCAAGTGCCATCGCGGGTTCACTAGCCGGGCGGAGAGCATGCCCCTCCGCAGGCCTAGTCTGGCCGATTTTTTTGCGGTATCTTGATGTATCTCTCCATATCTGACCGTATCCCGCCATATCCCGCCATATCCCGCCATATCCCGCCATATCCCGCCGTATCCTGCCCGCCTCACGCCGAGCAGCCCGGCCTCTCTCCGCGCTCCGGCCGCAGAGCGCGACGGATCCCTGGTCCCTGCTCAAGCGGAAATTTTCTGTATATCGTGAATCACGGGAATCGACAAGCGCTCGACAAGCGGCCGTCGAAGCGCGAATGCGTCCGATTTGCGGTTTCACGCTTGACGGACGTTGTCGTGAACACATCTTGGGGGCTCCGTATCTCATCAAATCCGCGTGTATCTCCCGGTATCCCGCCATATCCCGCCATATCCCGCCATATCCCGCCATATCCCGCCATATCCCGCCATATCCCGCCGCGGATACCGCCAAAAAAATCGGCCAGCCTAGGCATCTCCGCGCCATCATCTGCCTACTCGAGCAGAACAAGCGCGTGGTGCTCACCGGCCACAGTCTGGGCGGCGCTGTTGCGTGCTTGGCCACCTCAATCCTGCTACGGCGTGAGGTTCTGCAGAAGGACAAGCACGACCTCATCAAGTGCATCACACCTTCGCACAGCCTCTGGTTGCGGACCAGGAGTTCGCGCGGACCATGTGTCTCGCGAGATGGGCGAGGGGTGATGGGATGCTGTCGCGGCGGTCTCAGGCCCAGTGAGGTAGTGCGCCAGACTATCCCAGATCCTGCTGAGCAAGCTCCTCTTGTAGCTCGATCGGTCACACCGCCATCGCCGTCGGGGAGAGGGGGGACGACACTGCTTCTGCAGCGTGCACCTCGATCCTGTACCGTGTTTGTTATGACCCCCCCCCCCCCCTGAACACACTCCAGTGAGGGTGGGCGAGACGATCGAGGGGTCCCGTACCATGCGGAATCGACCCTATCAAGTGCTCAAGTGCTCAAGATGGTCAAGCATTTTCATATGGTTGTCGCTGAGCAGGACCCCGTCCGTGGTGCCCCTCGCGCTTCAGCTGTTCCAGTGCTCCGTCACTCACAACAAGGAGGCCCGCAAGGAGATCGTAGAGATGTGGGACGACGTGTGGAACGCTGGTGTGGCCGGTCTGCAGGCGCTCGCTCCGGGCGGATCCGGATGTATATGGCAGTCATGGGAGTCAAGGCGGTCGTCTCGGCCAGATGGAGCTGGGGCATGGAGGTCGAATCCGACCCCTCGCTCCAGGTAGGGCCGTAGTCCCGGACTGCGTGACTCACAGGCGCCGCATAGCCAATAGGAGACCCGCACCCACATATCACCAAAATGCAAGAAAGAAAGAGCTCTCCACGTGGACAGAGCGGGAGAGCTCAGAGGACACGACATGACTCAACCGAGTCAACGGCGAGCAGTAGCTGCCAGCTCCCCTACTCCGACTCGCGCGTGATCGCGAAGCGCAGCACGCACGCGCTAAAGTCGCGCGCCGCGATGCCGTTCGTGTTTCCTGCCGAGTCGAGATGGTGCCGCTCGTGGATCGCGTAGATCGAGCGGACGAGGAGCGCCGCCCGCTCGCGGGCCGCCGCGGGGAAGAGCAAGTGGTTTGCCGGCGACCACGGCGCCGCCGCCCGCCGGATCAGCGCCGCCGCCTCGCCCTCGCCGCCCGCGGCGCGCTGCAGCGGCGTCGGCTCGCCCTCGTGCAGGCTTGCGCCGCTGCGCAGCAGGGAGAGAGCGCGGGCGGCGGTGAGGGTCTCAAGGTGCGCGAGCGGCGTCCAGCCGCGGCTGGCGACCAGCCAGGCGGCGAGGTCGGCGTGGCCTGCGCTGTTTGCGGCCTCCTCGGGCGTGCAGAGGGCCGTAGCGGCGCGGGAGGCGCCGTAGGAGGAGAGGAGCTTGGCGACCTCGAGGTGGCCCTCCTGGCACGCGATGAGCAGCGGCGTGGCGCCGTTGTTCATGGCTTGGCCAACCGCTGCGCCAGCCTCGAGAAGCAGCCGGACGATGTCGAGGCGCCCCTTCTGGCACGCGATGAGAAGCGGCGTGGCGCCGTCGTTCATCGCTTGGTTGACCGCCGCATTGGCCTCGAGAAGCAGCTGGGCGCACTCGACGCGCCCCTGCAGGCATGCCATGATCAACGGCGTGATGCCGCCATCCATGACTTGGCCGACCGCTGCGCCAGCGTCGCGCAGCAGCCTCGCGATCTCGAGGTGGCCCTCAAGGCACGCAATGAGCAGCGGCGTGGCGCCATTCCCCTTGGCTTGGTTAACCGCTGCGCTGGCCTCGAGAAGCAGCCGGGCGATCTCGAGGTGGCCCTTCTGGCACGCGATGTAGAGCGGTGTGGCGCCGTCGTTAAGGGCTTGGCCGACCGCCGCACCAGCCTCGAGGAGCAGCCGGGCGATCTCGGGGTAGTCCTCCGCGCACACGACGAGCAGAGCCGAGACGCCGCCGCCAGTCGTAGCCCCGACGCTCGCGCCGGCCTCGAGCAGCAGCCGCACCACCTCGGCTTGCCCGTGCCGAGCGGCCCAGGTGAGCAGCGTGTGCTGCCTCTCGGTGTCGAGCCGCGCGTCGAGCTGGGCCGTGAGTGACCTGCTGCGCGTCCGCCGCCCCGACAGGAACGCTCGCAGCGCGGCCAGGTCGCCCACCGCCAGATCGAGCAGCAGGGCGCGCTGGGTTGGGCGGAGGGCGCTCATATATATACATTTCAGAAAGAAGAAATCCCGGGTGCTACGCCACTTCAGCCGCACAAAATCAAGCTGTACCTTGCGGCAGTCGCGGGATTCCCCAGCAACTTCAGCCAGGCGGCAAAGATCGCGAGCGTGAGCGAGCTGAGCTCGTTCTTGACCGAGCGTCGACGCAATCGAGACTGTCCGTTCGTACACCAGCATGACAGTCCTCGTGCGCGGCACCAATCTCGACCTCGTTGAGCGCATCCGCGTCGACGGCACCGACGTCTCTTCGCGAGACGGAGCCTTCAAGTTCGGCATGACGACGTGGAAGGATGCCGATGGCGAAAAGATGCGTTCCGAGTTGCCGCTCAGCGCGCTTGACAAACAGGTCATCCTGGTGAGCTCCTTGGTGCACTTTGAGAAGCCGGTGATCCTTCCGCGCCCCAAACCCGACCCGTCTACGCGTGAGGCGCCGATTGAGCGAGAGCTGCACCTGATCGAGCGCTTTGCCGGCGCGTCGGTGGCCAACTGCTACCGAGTGCTCTGCCGCCGTGCGATGCTGCTTTGCAGCAGCTACGGGACGCTCGCGCGAGACGGCAACGACCCTCTCTCTGGGCTCGGCGAGGCGCAACACGCGATTGGCTCAAGCAGACGCAGACAACGCTCGACGCGATGGCGCAGCTCGCGCGGCTCGACCGTCTTGCGGATTCGCCTTTGTGGACGATCGAGGTGTTGCACGACTCCCTCAAGGGCTTCCCGCCGAGGAGCGCGAGCAAGAGATGCGCAAGTTCGCGTCCGAGGAGGTTTCCACCACGTTGGCGGGCGAAGCTCTCACGAGGGAGACGGTCGCAAACATCGAGAGTTGGTTCGAACTCTCGGGCAAGGCGATGATCAAGATAGGGAACAGTGCCATTGGAGCAGGTTGCGACTGGGTGCGTGGGTCGGTGCCTGGAGAACCTCTTCCCCAAAGGCTCCCCCTTCCTGCCGTCTGCCATCATTTCGAGTCTTCTCTCGGCGGCAAGCTTGAGCTCGACGTCGCGCTTCGAATGGCAGACGTTGTCTAGCCACGATGAACTCTTGCGAGCTCTTCCGATTGCTCTGGACTCCGAGAGCTCGCTGGTACGCAAGGTCGGTAACCTCGGTGGCACTTTCATGGGCCTCGGCGTCTTTTCACTCCTAGGAGAACCTGTGGTTTTTGCATTTGGCAGTGTGGCTTGCACCGCAGTTGCTGCGGCAGACCTCGTCGAAGGGGCGACCGTCAGCGAGGCAGTTCGGGACGGCGGTCGATTCTTTAATCCTCGCTTCTACGTGAACGGCTACGCCTACGGCTCGGGGTGCTGGCTTGACAACACGACAGAGCGGAAGGTGGCATGTTGGCAGGGCTTCCTGATTCTTGCACTCGATGTGCTTGGTGGCGATTCGGCAGGCGACGCATTTGGCAACCAAGCGAAGCTGGCGGACATCATGAGAGCCTGAGCAACGGCGTGGAAACCGATCTCGTCCTTCAAGAGTACAGTGACGTAGTGAAGATGAGTCAGACATAGCCTCTGCAAAATCTGACCGACGACGCCCTGAACATGCTGAGTGAAGACGCGGTAGGCTTTGGTATGAAGACGACGACGGCCCGCCCGCGCATCTTTCTGGAACAAGATGCGACTTGCCGCCCTCAACCACTCGCTGTGGAAGCTTCTCGCGGCGCAATACTCGATCGGCATTATCGGAACCGCACGCCTGGGCAAGTCCACGCTCGTCGCTGAGCTGAGCGGACAGAACACCGCCGCCGGAGAGGGGAAATCCTGCCACACGCACACCGTCCACACCTATGAGAACAAGGACGCCCTGGGCATCAACATCATGGACTTCCCTGGAGTCGATGACCTCGGGGCGCTCGAGGGCTTATTTGCACGCGGCAGCAGCGCTGTCGACATGCTCGTGATTCTGGCTGACGGGCCGAAGGCGCACGTTCGCGAGATGGTGAACCTTCTCAAGGCCGTCGCGGAGGAACGGCATGACCAAGCCTCGCGTCCTCTTGTGCATGCACCGCGCCGATGAATGGCTCGTTACTCGCCATGGCGGCGACATCGCCGCCTTCAGGGCCAGCGTGGAGGAGCAGAGAAAGGACATCACCGACCTTTTGATCCAAAAGGTTGGTCGCGCCGGGTTTCTGACCTGCCACCCGACCTGCTTCAAGCAACCCAGAGGGAAACCAGAGGGTCCCAAGCACTGTGAATTTCCGGAAGTTTCCAGGGAAACCAGAGGGTGGGTGTTTTGGTGCTCCATTCCTGCTCCATTCACCATTCTGGCAACTCTCGAGTTTCCCTGAGTCTGAGAGCTGGTTTGCGTTTGGGGCAAAATCTGAGGCGAAACCAAGGGAACCGGCAAACTCGGCGGGTGTATTTTCCAGGTATATCCGGGGGGTTCCAGGTATACCCGCAAAATACCCCGGTATTTTGCCGATTTGGCTGATTTGGGGCCCAAACCAGCCTCAGACTCGGCTCAGAGCCCGGGAACTTGATGATTTCCACGGAGTTTCCCAAGGAAACTAGAGGGTGCTGTAGGGAAACTAGCAGCAAACACGGAAAGGAAACCAGGCAGGGTGCGAGAGGAAACTCTCGTAAAGCCCAAGTCATCAGGCATCGAGACCTCGAGGAGATGGTGGCAAGCTTCGTAGGCACGGCTCTGCTCAGCTCGGGGTCGGCTCCTCCTCGGCGACGTGGCTACTGCAGTCAGAGAGAATGGGCTGCGGCACGCCCGCCGCCTATTCACACGCTCGCGCGCGTGAAGATGAGAGGCCCAACGCTGGAGGAATGGCCGCTGGCGACCCCTCTTGCCGCGAGGGTCTCCGCCGTCTGCAAATCGGTCGACGAATCTCGACGAATCTCGGCGAATCTCGGCTAATCTCGGCCTCGAGGGTCATCGCCGTCTGCGTGGCAATATCGTACGCCACGGCGTGCAGCCGGACGCGCTCGCGCGGGATCCGAAGCGCGGCGAGGGCGCGCCTAGGTTGTGATGAATGGTCGAGTCATACCCTGTAGGGGGCCCGAATGGGGGCGGCGAGGGCGCGCGTGATGTCGACGGATGCGGTGGTGGTCGGCGCGTTGCGCAGGCAGTTGTCGCACTTGACCTAATAGGAGCACTAACACAGTTGTTTTCCGTTGCGCGAGATGCGCTCGAAAATTCGAAACCCGGGCGCACCACGTCCGCGGCGGGCAGGCAGAAGAGCGACGCGGCGCCGACGAACCCAGGCAGCGCCTAATAATTGAGGCATCAATCCTTCAGTGCGCGCTGAAGTGCCCGGCGTCGCCTAGGCGCCGCAGTTCAGTGCTGCACGGCGCTATTGCACGGCGCTATCTGAACCGTCTCCGCGTCCCGCCCAGCGGCGTCGGATCGCGGCTAGCATCCCCGGCTATCCCCCTCTCTCGGCTAGCATCGCGAGGGCTCGCGCCTGCAGCGCCTCCGGGGCCTGGTCGGCGAGGCTCTTTGGCGGTCGCCACTCGCGAGGCGATCCCAACGAACCGGCCACCCAGCCAAGCAGCCCTCCCCCGCCCGATGCGTCGGCGTCCGACGCGTACACAAAGAGCGCCTGCGCACAGCGCCGCGCGTGAAGAGGCGCTGTTCACAGTGGGAGCCCGTGAAGACGCGTGCGCGAACGCTGCGCCTTGGAGCCGTTGACCTTTAGCTTGACCACGTCGCGGAAGACCGCGCTCGCTGGCACGGGGCCCGGGGGGCCTGCTAGCTCCACCGGCCCGGGCGAGCCAGGCAACAACACCCCGCGCGGCCTCGGCGCCTGTTCGCACAAGGAGAGGCGTGGAGAGACGCGGCGTGTGCCCGCTGCAGCTGCACCCCGCCAGCCCGCGGCGCCACCTGGAGGCTGGCGGGCGTGTACAGTCCGCCGGGTGGGTAGCTGTAGCCGAGAAGGGTGATGTCAAAGGTGTCGCGTCCTGCGTACTGCTCGCGGGTGCGCGGGTTGACGCCAAACGGCTCGTACCTACTCACAGCTGTAGGTGTGAAGAGGCGCTGTACACACCTCCTCGTGGAAGCGGCTCGTACCTATTCACACGAGCGACCGAGGCGCTGTTCACCCGGCGAGGTGGCGTGGAGTGCATGCGGACACCGCAGACGGCTCGCACCGGCCCCATTGCCCGTCGGGGAAGCCCGCCTCGCGTCCATCAAGGAACCGGTTGGCGTAGAACGCCGCCTCCGCCCCCCTCCCCGCCGGGGTCTGGAGGAAGGACTCGTAGGCGCGGTCGACGTTGCAGTGGTGCAGCCAGAAGAGCGGGTGGAAGCCCGCGGTCGGGACCTGCTCGCACAGTGAGAAGCGTGAGCAGCGCCGGTCTCGACCTGGCGGGGCAAGAAGGGCGGCGGACCTGCCCGACCATCTCAGTCCCCCTTTCGCGCCGCCCGAGGCTGCCGACGGCGACGTGGACAGAGCCGTGCGGTGCCGCGTCGAGCGCAAGGGCGGCGCGCCGAGGGTCGCTCATCTCGAGGTAGGCCTGCCGGCAGCAGCAGCGGCAGGGGTGTCAAGAGGGTGTCAAGAGTCGCCGCTACCACTGCGAGCTGTGAAGAGAGGGTCGCCCACCTCGGTCGCTGCAGTAGAGTGAGAGAGGTGTGGGGGGGGGGGGGGGCTTGGAAGATTGAAGAGACGCGAGCAGGCGTCGTCGGTTTCTTGCTTCCCTTCGACGGGCTGTTTTCTTCGACTACTGCGGCGGCCTGCAGGCTCTCTCCGACGCCGAACCACTCCAGGCAGTACGTGCGCAGCTCCGCGTCGACGCGGCTGTTCCACGGGTTGGTCTTGTAGAAGAGGGTGCCGTCCTCCTCCCGCGGTGCCAGCTGGTTGCCCTGCTGGTCGAGCGGCAGGAAGGTTGCCTGTTCACAGCTGGCGGTGTGACGAGACGCCGTGCACAAGAGCTCTCAGGTCGGAGCGGCAGGACGGCGTCTTGTCTCTGTGTGTCTGTGTGTCGCTCCTGTGTGACCGGCTCGCTGGTCAGACTGGTCTTCACCTCTCTGTCCATCTAGGAAGGCTACGTGGAAGAGGCCGCCTTCGGACGGGACGCCGTCATACTCGTTCGTCGCCATCAGCCGCTGCGCCAGCGAAGGGAGAAACGGACCGCCTATCCACGTGTAGAGGTGTGACACGGATCCTTTCTCCACACACCGCAAGCGCCCGGGAGAGTGACGGGCCCTCAGGTTGGCGCGTCCAATCCCAATAAGGCAGGCCGATGTTGCCGTCGCCGCCGTTTTCCAGGTCGGCGCGGCGGAGGGTCTGCTCAAACTCGAGCATGTAGATCCGGTGCCAGTTCGGGAAGCACTCCACTCCGTGCGTGCAGTAACTCGGCACAGGGTTCTGCATCGCCGCGAGGTGGGTGGATGGCCAGCTCGACCCTCCGTGGATCAGCGCGAGACGAAAATAACGGGACGTGCCCGGGCCGTCCTCGTTGCGCATCATGCGAAGCCACGCCGCGAGGATCCGATCCTCCTCAGCTGCTGTCAGCTCATGCGCAGACTTCCGAGTGACAGGCGTGAGCGGCAGCGGCCGCTGGTACCACGGCCTGACAGCGGCGCCATCGTCGTCCGGATCTTCGACCGCCGGGTCGGTGCTGGGGAGAGGCTTTGTGTCGTCCATGGGCGCGCCGCTGCCAAGGCTGCACGCGTTGCCCATGGACGTGAGAGAGGCCGGAGAGAGACTCGCTGGCGGCTCCTGCGACTCCTTGCCTCTGGCCAGTCCGCAATTGAGACACGTGGTCAAGGGAGTTTTTTTTATTCGCATTTTATGTGGCGGGCGGGCCGTTGTTTCCTAGACCCCTACTGCTACGTGCGTTACTGCTACGTGCCCCCCGTGGTACCCTGGCGTCTGCAATCGATCTCGGAGACAGCCATCTCGACGAAAACTCGAGCTCTCGCGGAAAACCGCTTTTGACTCTTTTTTCTGAGCCTAGCCTTTTCCGTTCTCGCTTATCTTCTCGTCAGAACGCAATGCGCGCGCACCGATACCAATGACGTATGCGGGGCAGAATTCCGCGATACCCGATACCTCCTCCTCGTGTCTCAATCCTGCCTCGTCTCGCCTCCTGCCTCGCTCCGCCGCGGCTTCCGCCGCCACCGGGCCACTGCTGCTGCACCCACCCTCTCTCTAGCTAACTACCCCGGCGCCCACGCCTCGACCTTCTTGGGCAGCAGCTGGTTCGACAAGTCCTCTCCGTGGCCTAGGTAGCCGTCCTCGCCCTTGCCCCAGGTAAAGACGGCGCCGTCGGCGGTGCGGGCGATGCTGTGGTAGGCTCCCGCCAGCACGGCAACGACGCGCTGGCCCGCCAAGGCCTCGATCTTCTTCGGCAGCAGCTGGTTCGACCGGTCCTCTCCGTGGCCTAGGCAGCCGCTCTTGCCCGCGCCCCAGGTGAAGACAGCTCCGTCGGCGGTGAGGGCGAGGCTGTGGCCATGTCCCGCCGACACGGCGACGACGCCACGCTGGCCAGCGAAGGCCTCGATCTTCTTCGGCAGCGGCTGGTTCTGCGTGTCGCCGTGGCCCAGCTGGCCGTGGCCTCCCCAGCCCCAGCTCCAGAGGGCGCCGTCGGCGGTGAGGGCGAGGCTGTGCTGGTAACCAGCCGACACAGCGACGACGCGCTGGCCAGCAAAGGCCTCGAGCTTCTTGGGCAGCAGCTGGCTCTGCGCGGCGCCGTGGCCCAGCTTGCCACGGCCTCCTTCGCCCCAGCTCCAGAGGGCGCCGTCGGCGGTGATGGCGAGGCTGTGCCCGCCTGCAGCCGACACGGCGACGACGCGCTGGTCAGCAAAGGCCTCGATCTTACTCGGCTGCCACTGGGTCTGCTCGTCGCCGTGGCCCAGCCGGCCTGAGTCTCCACCGCCCCAGCTCCAGACGGCTCCGTCGGCGGTGAGGGCGAGGCTGTGGCGGGCTCCAGCCGACACAGCGATGGCCCGCTGCCCCACCAACTCCTCGACCTTCTTCGGCAGGAACTGCTCCTGCTCGTCGCCGTGGCCCAAGCAGCCAAAGCCTCCACCTCCCCAGCTCCAGACGGCACCGTCGGCGGCGAGGGCGAGGCTGTGGAAGGGTCCAGCCGACACGCTCATAGCGCGCTCGCCCAGCGGTGAAGGGAGGCGGGTCGGCGTGTTGAGCCGCGTCACTCCCTCGCCGTGACCGAGCAGCCCTTGGCGCCTGCATCGCAAGCCACACGACGAGAGCCGCCCCTCGCCGTCGATGAAGAGGCTGTGCCGAGTGCCTGCCGCCGCCCTCGCCGGCGGGTTGGACTCGCGCAGCAAGGCATACAAGCAAAGCCACCGCACGGCGCAGATCTCGCCCTCAGGCTGCGCCGGCGGCTCGTAGCCGGCCTCTTGCAGGCGCAAGCGGATGCCCTCCAGCGCAAGCGAGGCGTGGAAGAGCAGCGAGACGGCCGCGACGCGAGCGATGTCGGCGGGGCTGTCGCAGCGGGAGATGACGCGCGCGAGAAGCTCAAGGGGCAGGTCGGTGAGGGGGCAGTGTGCGACGGCGGCGGCGGCGGCGGCGAGGCGGCGCGAGCGGCGCTGGGGGGTGGACATCGCGAGAGAGAGATTTCCTTTCACACGCTTGCCGTCCTCGCCCGGGGAGACCCCGGCCGGGCCGTCGACGCTCTCGGAGGCTGCGGTACCAGCCGAAGGCGAAGCGGAGTCGAGGCCACAGCCGAGGAAGAGGCATCAGAAACGACTGCAGAGGCAGGTCTGGTAACGCCCGGAAGGCGAGCAAGGGACCGGGACGAACGAGCGAGCCGAGGGCTCGCCCCGACAGGCGAAGGAAGGGACTCTGGGACCGGAGTCGGGCGGGCGCACATGAGGCGTATCCGTGTACGTACGTGGAGTACAGTGTTGTGTGTCCGGTAGCTCCGAGTAGAGGGGGCGTTCTGCAGTTAAGGGGAAACCCGGTACACGGAACTAACCCTCGGAGACCCGTGTTTACTTTACGGCCCTTTCCCTGCGAACGCGCACCCCCGGGGCTAGGGCTCTCTAGCCCGTAACCCGACACCGATCATCCGGCTCGATGGAGACGCACAGACAGCACTGCGCTTGTGCTTTTTTGAGTCTGGCAAGCTTGTCCTTGATGACTGTCTGACTTTTGCCGGGAACGATCATCTTCGTGTCCGGTTTCTTGGTGTGGTTCCAGTGCTCGAAGAGCAAGCGCCTCACGAGCGCTGGTGGCCACTCGCGAGAGCTGTTAGAAAGGACGGCGATCTCGACCTAATCGCGAGCTTACGGGTGCAGAGAGCTACATCGGTGACGAGAATTAAGAGCTGACGCGCCTGCTTGAAGATGTGAGCCACTGTGTCGTACTCGAGAATAGCGTTTGCGCTTGCGTCCGTCATGTTGACGTCACTGACAGCAATCGTTGTAGGTGTCGCGTTGGCATCCCGTAGCTCTATCCCGACCGTCATGATGGCGAACAGCGCGAGCATTCGCACGTCTTGTGTCGGGCGTGGGCGGCCGAGACGCAGAAGATGCAGGAGCGGCAAGGGCTCCCTCGTGCGTGAGGTGATCGACTTTCACTTTTTGCATCTTTTTTGCATCGAGCCATTTTCTCCTCTTTTGGGGGCTCCTCAGAGCTGTCTCTCTCTCTCTCTCAGAGCTGAGGAGACTGAAACCGAGTCAAGGGATTTTTTATTCGCATTTTATGTGGCGGACCGTTGTTTCCTAGACCCCTACTGCTACGTGCGTTACTGCTACGTGCCCCCCGTGGTACCGTGGCGTTTGTGCCCCGTCTGTGGACTGTTGTGCCGCGTCTAGTGGTAGTGCTCCATCCAGTGTCCAATTCACTTCAGCACTTCAAGAAATCACGACTCGTCCAGTGATTTGGGCTTTCTTGTTGGTTTTCTAAAATCTCTCTCTGCACTTCTCCCTTTCTTCTCTTCTCATGAAATCGGAGGGTCGGAGAGAGGGTCGGTCCACAGGGGGACTTCGTGAGCGGAAGCGACCCAAAAAAGAAAGAAAACAAAGAAAGAAAACGGACAAGCCAAGGGAGGGATGGGAGGAAAGAAAGAAAACAGAGAAAAACGTCGCACTCAATTCTTTTCCTCGCGATGTCCACCCCGTCGCGCCGCTCGCGCCGCTCGCGCCGCCGCGCCGCCTCCGCCACCGCCGCGCCCTCGCCAGACGCGCCGCCGCGCTCCCGCCTCCGCCTCCTCGACCTCCCCACGGAGCTCCTCGTGCGCGTCGTCTCCCGCTTCTACAGCCCCGCCGACATCGCTCGCGTCGCGGCCGTCTCGCTGCTCTTCCACGCCTCGCTCGCGCTAGAGGGCATCCGCTTGTGGGCGCGAGAGCGCGGCTACGAGCTGCTGGCGCAGCCAGGGGGCGAGAGCTGCGCCGTGCGGTGGCTGTGCTTCGCTGCGCTGCTGTGCGAGTCCAACCCGCCGGCGAGGGCGGCGGCAGGCGAAAGCCACAGCGTCTTCATCGACTGCGAGGGGCGGCTCTCGTCGTGCGGCGCGGGAGAGGAGGGGGAGGAGGACGACGGAGAGGAGGAGTTTCCAGGCCTTCTCGGCCACGGCGAGGGCGTGCTGCAGCTGAAGACGCCGACCCGTCTCCCATCGCTCGGGAGGCGAGCGCGCGATTGGTGTGGCGGCGTCACGATACTTCAGCCTCGCTCTCTCCGCGGACGGCGCCCTTTGGTCCTGGGGCAGCGGCTGCCAGGGCAGGCTGGGACACGGCGACGAGGACCAGTGGCAGCCCAAGAAGATCGACGCCTTTGCTGGCCAGCGCGTCATTGCTGTGTCGTCGGCCGCAACTAGCCACAACCTCGCCATCACCGTTGTCTGGAATGGGGCCACTGGGCCACGGCGACACGCAGTCCCAGCACCTACCCAAGCAGGTCGAGGCCTTTACTGGCCAGCGCATCGTCGCTGTGTCGGCTGGGTGGGCGCACAGCCTCGCCATCACCGCCGACGGCGCTGTCTGGAGCTGGGGCTATGGAGACGACGGCCAGCTGGGCCACGGCGACCGGCAGGAGCAGTGGCAGCCGAGTAAGATCGAGGCCTTTGCTGGCCAGCGCGCCGTCGCTGTCTCGGCTGGAGAGTACCACAGCCTCGCCATCACCGCCGTCTGGGGCTGTGGAGACTCAGGCCGGCTGGGCCACGGCGACACGCAGTGGCAGCTGCTGCCCAAGAAGATTGAGGCCTTCGCTGGGCAGCGCGTCGTCGCTGTGTCGACTATTGGGCCACAGCATCGCCAGTCACGACTCACGTCCTTGTAGACGTTGCGGTATTGGGCGGAGTTACACTGGTGTCACTGTAAAGCCGTACACTGAGTGAGGAGAGAGACCGCAGACCGTGTCCCACCGCTAAAGCGTTACCCCTACTACCGCAGTCAAAAGAGGAGGGGACCACAACACATAGAAGACACACTCCCGGCACGCACACACACAAGAGCGCAACGCCTACACCACTGCGCCGATCGAAGGCGCGGCCTTCTCGAGGCCGCACTTCTCCTCGAGGCACTGGAGCGCGCTCTTGATGTGCGGGCTGTGCGCCGCCTGTTCGCGGTAGTGCTTCAGTGCGACCATGTTGGTCGCCTCGCACACCACCTTTTGGATCTTGTCGCAGCCACCCGCCCGCTCGATGTAAGACGCGAACGCCCACTGGCAGACGCACCAGTGCTCGACGGGGCAATCGTCGGCGGGTGCTCCGTCGCACGACATCTGCGACCCACACCAGTTTGGCTGCCCCGTCACCTCGCAAAAGTTCCCGCCGACGTTGCTCTTCATGTCGATGCACACGTGGTGGCTCCCGGCGTCGTCGTTCCGGTCAACGCATTTGCCGATGCGGGTTAAGCCGGTGAGCGCCATCCCGGCGCCCGAGCAGCGCTCCAGCTCACCGCCGAGGACGTTCTGGTAGGCGGCGGAGTGCTGGACAGGCCGGCGAGCAGAGCGAGGGCCGGCATGTTGGAGGAAGGCAGCGTCCCGATCGCCTAGGCCTGAGCCGACGGAAACTTCCAGGAAGGAAAAGATTTTTTCAAACAGAATACGACGCTAGGGACGACATGATGGAGAGGTGTCGCAGCGGTCCGTCGAGTGATCGCCACAGCGACATATCCCAGACCCGTGCCCAGACGGATGGAGTCCGGCCGCGGGTGACTACTCGAGTAACTAGGGAAGTTCGCTCAGGATGTGTTCGCTCTCACCTGGCAACCCTGTCTGCACGTCTCGCGCGCGCGTGAACAGGGCTCCAGGCCCCAAATTACGTGTGAGTGTTAGAGTTGTTTGGTATTGCTAAAAATCTCTCTCTCTCAGGATGTGTGGCAGCCACGTTGGCTGAGTGTCTTGTCTTGTGGTTCTGTGTGTCGCTCCTGTGTGACCGTCACCGCCCGTCTTGCGTCCACCCATACCGCATTGGAGAGAGAGAGAATCTCTTCTTCCCGCGTTGGGAGAGAGAGATTGTTTTGTCGCGTTGGAGAGAGAGATTCTTAGCCCTGTTCACGCGCGCGCGAGACGTGCAGACAGGGTTGCCAGGTGAGAGCGAATGGCGCGGTTCACGCCTCGCACAACAGAGAGAGAGATGCGCTCTGCATGGTGGGACATAAAAGAGAGCGAGTACTTGGGCGAGTAGGCCGTGCGGTCGACGCTGCCGCGCGCGACTTTGCGCGCGAGGCGGCGCAGCTTGAGAACGGCGGTGGGCGAGAAGCCGAAACTCTTGTGGGAACTGTCGAGCACGTCCTCCGTTCAAATCGAAAAAAGAAGGAATGAAGACAAATTCCGAGCGCGACACAGTTCGCGCGCAAAGGATATCGCCAAAGAGCAAGCACGTGAGGGCTCGGCGGCTTCGCTGTCCTCGATGTCACGCCTCTCCTCGGCCTCGCTGTCCTCGATGTCACGCATCTCCTCGCTCCTCCTCCTTTCGCTCGCCTCCGTCCACGGACATGGCTACCTAACATGTCCGGCTCCGCGCCAGCGTCGCGACGAGCCCATCGCCGGCCAGACGTGGACGAGTTGGATGGGCATGGCTGGCTCGACCTACGCTGCCGGTGTGGGCAATGCAGCCTCCCTCAGCGGCGGCGGCAGGAACGAAGCACACGCCGCTCCCAACTCGCACGACCTCTGCGGTGGCACGCTCGCCAACAGCTTCTCGGCTGGGTCGCCCTTTGGCCCGACCAAGGCTCGCCGCTCGCCCTCGCCCACACACCTTTACACACCACCCTTTTCTGACGACGCCCGCCCTCCGTCTGCAGGCCCGTGGCACCTTCAAGAGCGGAGGCACGATGGAGGTCACCATCGACATCACCGCCTACCACAAGGGCTGGTTCGAGTTCCGATTGGCGGTCCCGGCCGACGGCGGCGCCGACGAGGCCTCGCCCATCACACAGGACATGCTCAACGAGCACGTCCTCGAGATTGACGAGAGCACGGTCGACTTCGATCTGGTGACCAACTACGCCGGCGTGCACGGCAGCGTCAAGTGCGCCACGACTGGCGGACACAGCGACCCGACCTCCACCACGCGAAACACAAAGTGGCCGCACGGCTCGTGCTGCAACGGGGGCGGCGCCTGCAGCCCGCCCGCCGCCAACAAGGACCGCTACGTGATTGAGACCTCGTCCAACGTGGGCGAGCCGGGCGCACCGACGGGCCTGTACACCGTCGTGCTCAAGGTCCCGCCCGGCATCGAGTGCGAGCGGTGCACGCTGCAGTGGTGCGTCGCCGAGGCTCCCCTCCCCAGGTGGAACCGTCTCTTGACCTTCCTTGCGCCGTCCGGTAGGTACTACCAGACTGGCAACTCGAACGACGCCTACCCGGAGGCCTTCTGGAACTGCGCAGACGTCGAGATCAAGCCGGAGAGCTACACCGGCGACGTCGGCTGCGACCTCCCCGGGCCAGCTGACAGCGGCGGCGGCGGCGGCGGCGGCGGCGGCGGCGGCGGCGGCGGCGGCGGCGGCGGCGGCGGCGGCGATGGCGGCTACATTGGCTGGTGCCGGAACGACTGGAGGGGCGGAGAGTGTGTGCCGTGCAACACTGGGGCCGATTGCGATGCCCACGGCAGCGGTGCCTGCGACGGGCAGTCTTGGTGCGCCGAGACCGTCTACTGCGGGGCCACGCCCGAGTGCAGCGGAGGCCCCGCCGCCGGCTGCGGCCCGACTGAAGAGCTGAGCTGCTCGGTGGAGCGGGAGGCGTGCGGCGCCTTCCAGGCAAAGTGCGACGCCTGGTGCGGCGCCTCGTGTACCGCGACGCCCACGTGCGACGCCGAGGCTCCGGAGTACCCGGGCGGCATGCTCAAGCACGAGTGCTCGTGTGCATGCTCGGCCTGCGGCGGCGCCGACTCGATCGCGAGCTGCACCTTCTCTGCGTCGTCGCCCTCACCGCCGCCCTCGCCCTCGACCTCACCGTCGCCCTCGCCTCCGCCGCCGTCGCCCAAGCCGCCGACCGGCGCTATGACCGACCCTCCGCCGCCGCCGCCCTCGCCACCGCCGCCGCCCTCGCCGCCCTCGCCGCCACCGGCGGGCAACGGCGGGGGGCAGTGCGTTGACATGCCGCTGACCGGAGGCTGGGCATCAACCACTTGTGCCGCCCTTGGCGAGTCGAGCTGCCCCGGGTGGCCCTTTGAAACGATGTGCGGCTACTGCGACCACGACGTCATCGGCGAAAATTGCTGCCGGTGCGGCGGCGGGAGTGGAGGCGGCGGAGACAGCTCGCCATCTCCGTCGCCCTCGCCGAGCCCGTCTCCGTCTCCGTCCCCATCCCCGTCCCCGTCGCCGTCGCCCTCGCCCTCGCCGACCGGTCCCGCCGTTTGCGGCACGTGGTCGGAAGTCTGCCCGGGCTGCCCCGGCGGGTCGAGCGCGTGCTTTCAGTGCACAATCGATCCGGCAAAGTGGCAGTGCCCGGGCGGCGGGCCGGGACCAAGCCCCTCGCCCTCACCGTCGCCGTCTCCCTCTCCCAGCCCCTCGCCGTCGCCGTCTCCCTCCCCTAGCCCGTCCACGTCTCCCAGCCCCTCCCCCGCGTCTTCCCCCGGGTCCTCGGCCTGCAGCGGCCTGAGCATCCACGCGGCCATCCAAGAGCAAGGGCTCGATCCGGACACGGATCTGCTCCTCGGGTCGACCCGAGCGACGTGGGAGGACCTCTGCGAGGTCGTCGTTGCGTGGAACGGCCGCTTCTCCGCCATCCCCTTCCTTGCGGAGGCCGACGCCGGCAACAACCTCCTCACGCTCGCCGCCTTCCTCGGCAACGCCGCGCAGGAGTCGGCAGACTTCGTGGCCTGCGAGGAGTACATCAACCCGTGCCAGGGCGTCTGCTCGGGCGGCAACGCGGAGGACTACCGCGACGCCCTCTGGGGGACGTGCTATCAAGTGCCGGTGCCGACCGCGGACAGCTTCGACAAGACGGGCTCGCTACCCGCCGACGCGTGCGGCACGTCGGGGCAGGTGACGTGCGTCGACTGGGACGGGCGGCCGCACAGCGGCGACAGCTGCTGGTACGGCAAGGGCGCGCTACAGCTGACCTGGAACTGCAACTACGCCAAGGCGAACACCTTGCTCCGTGAGATTGGGCTCGAGATCGACATCTGCGCCGACCCCGACTCGATCTGCACCGACGGCCAGACCTTCTGGGCGGGCTCGCTCGCCTACTGGATGATGAGCGTCTCGCCCTACTACCTTCAGGACCACCGCATCGACACGGCGATGAACTGCATCAAGAGCGGCTGCAGCGCGCCCTACCCCGGCACTTGGACGGGCTCCGGCGCGGCGGTGCGCAGGGCCAACTACCAGGGCTACCTGAGCAAGCTCACCGGCGGCACCGCTCCCGCGCCGTCGCCGTCGCCCTCGCCCTCGCCCTCGCCCTCGCCCTCGCCCTCGCCCTCGCCATCGCCATCGCCATCGCCATCGCCATCGCCCTCCCCATCTCCGGCGCCGACACCGTCGCCCGGCGATGGCAACGACGGCGGCGCCGCCTCGGCGCTCGTGCAAGCCCTCCGCTCCACGACGGCGTACACGTTCCGCAAGCTCCAGACGACGGCGCAGGCGAGCTGCAACATCGAGTCGCCGGCGGGCGCCTGCTGGGAGGACAGCGAGCAGTACTTTTGGGCCGACATGGTCGGCGCGCTCGAGAAGATGGCCACGCGCGGCGTGGCGGGGCGCACCTTCATCTCCGGCGCCGCCGGCTCGAGCGAGTACGCCGTCGGCCTCGCCAACCTCGCCGCCTTCCTGGCGCAGACCATGCAGGAGACGATCCAGTACGACGCCTGCGACGAGAACAACTGGAGCGAGCAGAGCGCCCTCGACATGGTGAGCGCCAAGGGCGGCTCGCCGGGCGAGATCTACCCCGCCTCGGCGGCGTGCGGCCAGCTCGGCCAGAGCTACCAGAGCTACAGCTGCCCCGCCGGCGGCGTGCTCGACCCCGAGACGGGCGAGACAGTCCCGCCCGAGGAGGTCCAGTGCGCCGTCGACCTCGAGATGGTGGTGGTGGCGCAGACGTCGGCGCAGTGGTACGGCGCGCCGCCGCCCCTCTTCTGCGCGCCACGGTCGCTCGTGCGAGACGCGCCAAAGTGGGACGTGTCTGGATGGTGCCCCACCCAAGGGACCAGCTGGAACCAGGCCGAAGAGTGGGCGGCGCCGTTCGGGAGCATGGCGCGCGGCAGTATTCACTTTGGCCCGGCGGCGTCCACCGCGAGCGTGCCGCCAGAGGTGCTGGCCAGCGCGCCCGACTACCCGTCGTACGTGGTTGGCTCCGTCGACCAGGGCACGGGCGAGGACTGCCTGCTGTCCGGAACCTGCTGCCTCGACAAGGACAACCAGCGCGCCGGCTCCTGGCAGAGCTGCGCGGGCGGCTGCGAGAACTCCGCCCTGCCCGAGCTGAACGTCGGCAGCGAGGCGCGGACCGACGTGGAGGGGTGCTGCTGGTGGGGCCGCGGCGCCATCCAGACGACCGGCGTGTGCAACTTTGGCAAGCTCAACTACTTTGCGGGCAAGAAGGCGGCGCAGCGCGGCAAGGACGCCCTCTTCCCCGACGTCGACTTTTGCGCCAACCCGGGCGCGATCTGCCAGCCCGAGTACCCGGAGCTGCGCTGGTTCTCGGGCCTCTTCTACTGGCTGAACGACGTGCAGCCGTACGACGTGCGCGGCGAAAGGTACCTCGACGTCCTCCAGGCCTGGGTGGACAACGGGATGGACCCGAGCGACCACAGCCTCGTCGACTTTGCGTCCGGCGTCGTCAACCGCGGCTGCCACGACGCGCCGTTCGAGGGCGTCGGCGGCGCCGATCCGTGCGGCAACGGCGAGATCCACGCCTGGGAAGAGCGGCGCCTGAACTTCAAGCACATCTGGGGCGTGCTGAGCCCGCTGCTGCCGACGCGCCGCCGCTCCCTGCTCCTCTCGTGAGGCGCACGGGAGGCGGCCGGCGCTATTCGCTGTTGTGCAATACACCCCTCTCGAACGCTCACTCGAAGCTTCCTCTCCTTCCTCAGAGCCCCCCTCTCAACAGGACACGTACTCGCATGCGGCTTGCGGGGGCGAATCCCCCCCACCTCGCCCGCGGCCTGCGCCGCCAAAACGCGCGCGCAGCGCGGCTCAGCCCCTCACCATCAGGCCGGACGCGGTCGACGTTCGTACTCGCTCGTCAAGAGAGTCTTTTGTGTCGATTAAAATACGTTGCATGTGTGTAGAAGGACAGTACAGGGGAGGCCAGGCCTGCCTACGCTCATGCTCTCTCATGTCTCAGCATGCGCATGTGTCACCAAGGGCAGCCCCCCTCTCGCCGCCTCCGCTCCTCAGCGAGCAGCCGCTTCTCGCGCGCCACCGCACGGGTCGCCCGCGAATCCTCGCGGCCGAGCGAGAGGCTGGCGGTGATGAAGCGGCTCGCCACCTCTTGGTCGTGCGGCTCCGCCACCACCGCCTCGTGCGGCGCCGCCGGCCCCTCTGCTCCGTCGCCCGTCCCTCCCCCGCCCGGCCTGCCACGCAGCCACGCACCTTGCGCAGTCGGCGCCGCCGCCGCCCGGGCCGGAACCCCGCCCGAGGGGAGGGGCAGCTCCGCACCCTCCTCCTCGGCACCTCGCCCGCGCCCGCCGCCGGCGCGCCCGCAGTTTGAGATTGGCTTCGGCTTGACGCGCTGCGTCGGAGGAGTCGGCGCCGCAGGCAAGCTCACCTGCGCCTCCGCCTCCGCCTCCGCCTCCGCCTCCGCCTCCGCCTCCGCCTCCTTCTCCTCCGCCGCCTCCTCCGCCTCAGCCGCCTCCGCCTCCGCCGCCTCCGCCGCCTCCGCCTCCGCCGCCATCGCCGCACCGTGCGCGCGCGACGGCGCCGGCCCGGCGGGCAGGAGAGGGAAGGCTGTCGCCGCCGCGTCGGCCCTGCGCCTGTCGTGCTCCGCCGCCTCGGCGCGCGTCTGCGGAGAGAGAAGGGCGGGGCTCGGGGAGGGCGCGAGAGAGGGTGCGAGAGAGGGTGCGAGAGAGGGCGCGAGAGAGGGTGCGAGAGAGGGTGCGAGAGAGGGTGCGAGAGAGGGTGCGAGAGAGGGTGCGAGAGAGGGTGCGAGAGAGGGTGCGAGAGAGGGTGCGAGAGAGGGTGCGAGAGAGGGTGCGAGAGAGGGTGCGAGAGAGGGTGCGAGAGAGGGTGCGAGAGAGGGTGCGAGAGAGGGTGCGAGAGAGGGTGCGAGAGAGGGTGCGAGAGAGGGTGCGAGAGAGGGTGCGAGGTCAGTAGCAGCGGTCAGCACTGCTCACCCGCTCCAGCGACTGTGTACTAACTAACTGCTCACCCGCTCCAGCGACGCTCGCGCGCGCTCGAGGGCAGCGGCGCGCCTATTCCGTGTCATTGGGTTTGGGTACCGGGTTTGGTAGGGTACTGGCGCGAGGGCAGCGGCGCGCTTGGACTCCTCCCCCGCCCGCTCCTTAGCCCGCCGCTCCGCCCCCTCGCGCCGCGCCGCCTCGAGCGCCGCTAGCCGTGTCTCCTCCTCGGCCGCCGCTGCCGCCGCCGCCGCCGCCGCCGCCGCCGCCGCCGCCTTCTCTCTCCTCTCGGCGAGCGCTCGCCGGCGCGCCTCCCGCGCCTGCGCGGTGGGGAGTGGGGAGGATGCAGGTGATGGGGGGAGTGTGGGTGTGGGGGGGGGCGGGTCCCGTGCGATCGCGGGAGAAGGCGGAGAGGGGGTGGCGGTGTGCTGGAGGGAGGCGGTTGCGTGCAGCCGTCGCCCGTCTCTCGCCGGCCCGGGCCTCTCCTCTCCTCCCCTCCCCTTCCCACCTCTCCTCGCGCCACTCGCCCCTGCCCGCCCCGCCCGACCCCCTCCCCCGCGCCTCGCGCCTCGTCCTCGGCTGCCCGCTCTTTCGCTCGCCGCTCCGCCCCCTCGCGCCGCGCCGCCTCGAGCGCTGAGCGCCGCTTCTCCTCCTCGGCCGCCGCCGCCGCCGCCGCACGCGCCCGTGCCGGAGGGACATAGGTGGGCCTCTCTGCCCGCGCCGCCGCCCGGGTCTGCTGCGGAGTGCTGCGGCGTCCGCTGCCGACCTTCGTGCCGCCCACTCCGTCCGCCGTGCCTCCCGTCGCAGCCGGAGCCGCCTGGTCCGGTGGCGGCGGCTCCTGACTTGCCGCCTCTGGCGATGCGGCAGCATCGGACGCCGTGGCCGGCGCATCCGCCGCAGCAGCAGGCGCGGCATCGGGAGGCGACGACGCCGGCCGAGGCGGCTCGCCGGCCTGCTCCTGGTCGCCAGGCCGCCGCTGCGGAGAGGCGGACCTCGCCGCCTCGTCGCGGTCGACACCGGTGAGCGCCGCAAGCTTTCGGGCGCGGTTGGCGGAGCGTTCGGCGTCGTGCACGTCCTGCTTGCCGCCGCCGCCGCCGGCGGCGGTGGCCGCGCTGCGGGCCGCCGGAGGCCGGTAGACTGCGCGAGGCGCTGGCATATACAGACCGCTCCACTACTGTGGGTTCCCGCTCCTTGGGGGTAGGGGATCCCTGCGGAGCCGAACCTTCGGAGATCGTGACACGCTCCCGTATCCCCCCTCCAGTACCCTCTACCCGAACATCGCTGCGGTGCCCCCATTGCCCATTGGCCGGTCCCATTCCCCGCGTCGGTCAGATCGGCCGTACAATGACCGCCTGTCTTTGCGAATGGGTCGTAACGACTCGCCGGTGCTCCCTTGAGAGGACGTTCGGTCTGTGAGAGCGCGTGGCCCTTGCGCGAGAATGCTACGCCTACGGATCTTGATACCGAGTCCCTCCGTCCACGTTACCCATGTGCTGGATACAATTGCCTCGAAGAGTCCGATCAGTGACCGAGCCATTATTAATGTTTGTAATCTAACAGAAAAAAGAAATGGTTGTATCTAGCGCGCCTGCTCAGTATAACTGTCGCAGCTACCCCATTTGGGTAAGGGGTGAGATCGAGACGTGGTGCTCCAAAGTTGTATGCTGAGTGTGCTGAGAGAGAGAGATTTTTAGCAATACCAAACAACTCTAACACTCACACGTCATTTGGGGCCTGGAGCCCTGTTCACGCGCGCGCGAGACGTGCAGACAGGGTTGCCAGGTGAGAGCGAATGGCGCGGTTCACGCCTCGCACAACAGAGAGAGAGATGCGCTCTGCATGGTGGGACATAAAAGAAAGCGAGTACTTGGGCGAGTAGGCCGTGCGGTCGACGCTGCCGCGCGCGGCTTTGCGCGCGAGGCGGCGCAGCTTGAGAACGGCGGTGGGCGAGAAGCCGCCGCCGAACGTCTCGTGGAGCAGCAGGTTGAAGTTGTTGCGCTTGACAAAGATCGCGTCGTGGTAGAAACCGCGATGCGCCTTGACGTAGCCGTGGCCGGTCTTGTGGTCGAAGGGTTGGCCGGGCTGCCCGCGCGCCTTGCAGCCCATGTTTAGGCGGCGGGCCTTCTCTTCGGTGTTGCCGAAGGCGTAGGAGTGGCCAACGGAGGCGGGCGTGCCGCCGCTCGAGGCGTTGCCAACGCCCGCCGAGGAGGTCTTGAGGAGGGGCGTCCAGAGCTTGACTTCATTCACCTCTTCGCATCCTCCCGGGCCAGCGTGGGGTTCCGCGAGGTCGACCTTGTACCCCTCGTTGTACTGCCGGGTGAGCTCTGGTTTCTCCTTGTCACCGTGCACGACCGGCGCGTTGGCCGGGGCGCGCATCGCGTCCGCCCAGGCGGCGAGGACGCCGTCGTGGGGCCGCCGGTGGTGGGCCTTGTTGTAAAGGTAGTCGCCGAAGAAATCGACTGGCATGCCCCGCTCGAGCGCGACCACTGTGGGCATATCGAATCCGCGTCCACTGTGGGTTCCCGCTCCTTGGGGGTAGGTGTAGTATCACATGTATGTTGTTGGCAAAGGAAGACACAGAGCTCACACAAAATCACAGTGGGTGGTAAGCGAACGAGTCACTTAACAGGGGTCGATTAGTGCGGGCCACCCTGGGATCCCTGGAGCCGAACCCTCGGAGATCGCACGGAGATCAACCGTTACCCCCCGTGTCACGCCCAAGTACCCTCTACCCGAACATCGCTGCGGTGCCCCCATTGCCCATTGGCCGGTCCCATTCCCCGCGTCGGTCAGATCGGCCGTATGACCGCGAATGGGTCGTAACGACTCGCCGGTGCTCCCTTGAGAGGACGTTCGGTCTGTGAGAGCGCGTGGCCCTTGCGCGAGAATGCGACGCCTACGGATGATACCGAGTCCCTCCGTCCACGTTACCCATGTGCTGGAATACTGTCTCGTTTTGCTGTTCACAGCTAGAGACGGCCTCTGCGGCAAAGTCAACTCACCCCCACCTACCACCCACCACCGCGGCAAACCTTCGGCTCCCGCTCAGAGGCGCCCCGCGCCCGTGCGGCGCGCCGAGGCGGCGCCGAGGCCGGCGCCTTGCACCCGGCCCGCGGCCGGCACTGCCTCGCCCCACCACTGACCGCCCTGCGGCCCCTGCGCAGGCGTACCACAGGCGTCGCTCAAAAAGCGACGCCGGGTGTGGGCTGATCCCTTGCCCCGTCGCCCGCCGCGCCCTCGCCCGGCCGCCTCACCGGACACCGCGCACGGAGCGCTCGGCTGCTCGCCGCCGCCGCCGCGCGTCCCGCGCCGCCACGCTTGCCCTTGCCTTGTCGCGCTCTGCGCAAGCAGAGCGCGCGTGTCTGGCACAGACGGAGCAGCGGCCGCGCCAGCGGTCGCTGCTCCGCCCCCCCGCCGTCGCGCGCGCCGCGCGCGCGCTGCCGCCGCCGTCGCCGCCGCCGCCTCCTCGCCGTCTCTCCCTCCGTGTGGTGTGTGGTGCGCGCGCAGCGCGCACGGCAGCGTCCCCACACCTCGCGCGCGCGCGCCCCCGCCCCCGCCCCCGCCCCCGCCCATGCCCCCGCCCCCGCTCCCAAGCGCCCCTTCCCCGGTGTTTGCGGTTAGGGCCTGTGTCTCGTGAGAGGGTATGAGATCTTGCCTCGGTATGTGATCTATGTACGTGAGACCCCCCCTCTCGGCCCCTGTGCGTGTGGGTGTGCGTAGAAAGTGGAACCCATCGAGAGGTGCCGCGGCCGGAGCCGCCGTTTTGGCACATGTTGTGGGATCAGCGTTTTTTCTTCAAACATGCAAACGAGACGGCCTGCGCAGCCTCTGACTAACCTCACACTTTCGCTACTCGGCCGACTGGGCAGAGGTGGGCGTCGCCGACGTGAGCCCCGACGGCTGGGTGGGGCAGCGGGACCCGATGGTGGTGGTGGTGGCGAGGAAGCGGGGTTGACACGCGTCACGACTGCTACTGACCTTGTAATGTGAAGGTCCGCTGCGACGGCGGGCAACACTTAAAACATAAAAGAAAACGGACCGCCTGCGAAAGGGTATGGCATGGTGCAGAGACTTTAGTGGCCACAAACAACCATATCTCGACAGAATGTACGTTACGTTGGAACGTTGCGAGATAAACGGAGACGGCAGTCCGATCCAGTTGCGAGTACTATCTTAAACAACAGGAGAGGGACCGTCGCGGCGGTTCCAAGGTGAGAGCAGGGCCACCACAGTGCTCCCCTACTCCGTCTCGCGCGTGATCGCGAAGCGCAGCACGCACGTGACAAAGTCGCGCGCCGCGATGCCGTTCGTGGCTCCTGCCGAGTCGAGGTGGTACCGCTCGTGGATCTCGTAGAGCGAGACGACGAGGAGCGCCGCCCGCGCGCGGGCCGCCGCGGGGAAGAGCGAGTGGCTTGCCGGCGACCACGGCGCCGCCGCCCGCCGGATCAGCGCCGCCGCCTCGCCCTCGCCGCCCGCGGCGCGCTGCAGCGGCGTCGGCTCGCCCTCGTGCAGGCTTGCGCCGCTGCGCAGCAGGGAGAGCGCGCGGGCGGCGGTGAGGCTCTCAAGGTGCGCGAGCGGCGTCCAGCCGCGGCTGGCGACCAGCCAGGCGGCGAGGTCGGCGTGGCCTGCGCTGTTTGCGGCCTCCTCGGGCGTGCAGAGGGCCGTAGCGGCGCGGGAGGCGCCGTAGGAGGAGAGGAGCTTGGCGACCTCGAGGTGGCCCTCGTGACACGCCATGATCAGTGGCGTGACGCCGTTGCCGCTGGCTTGGTCGACCACTGCGCCAGCCTCGAGGAGCAGCTTGACAATCTCGACGTGGCTCTTCTGGCACGCCTTGAGCAGCGGCGTGGCGCCACTGACATGGGCTTGGTTGACCGCCGCGCTGGCCTCGAGCAGCAGCCGGACGATCTCGAGGTGGCCCTTATCGCACGCCTTGAACAGCGGCGTGGTGCCGTCCTCATCAGCTTGGCCGACCGCCGCACCGGCCTCGAGGAGCAGCCGGGCGATCTCGAGGTGGCCCCTGCCGCACGCGACGAACAGCGGATTGAAGCCGCTAGAATTTGCTTGGTTGGCTGCAGCGCTGGCCTCGAGGAGCAGCCGGGCGATCTCGAGGTGGCCGTTCTGGCACGCCATGTACAGCGGCGTGATGCCATCGTGGCGAGCTTGGTCGACCGAAGCGCTGGCCTCGAGGAGCAGCCGGGCGACTTCGATGTGCCCCTCCTGGCACGCGACGCACAGCGGCGTGTGGCCGTCAGAATCTGCTTGGTTCACCGCAGCGCCGGCGGTGATCATCAGCCGAACGCAGTCGACCTCGCCAGCCAGGCTCGCAGCGCTCAGCGGCGTGGTGCCGTCCTCATCGGCTTGGTCGATCGCCGCACCCGCCTTGAGAAGGAGCCTGGCGCACTCGACGCGGCCTTTCTCGCACGCAATGAACAGCGGTGTGACGCCGTCGTCCCTGGCTTGGTTGATCAAAGCGCCCGCGTCGCGCAGCAGCTTGGCGATCTCGAGGTGGCCTTGGAAGCACGCGGCGATCAGCGGCGTGCCGCCTCTGGTGTTGGCTTGGCCGACCGCCGCGCTGGCCTCGAGAAGCAGCCGGGCGCACTCGAGGTGGCCGTTCTGGCTCGCGATGAGCAGCGGCGTGGCGCCGTTCTGCTGGACGACTTGGTCGACCGCCGCGCCAGCCTCGAGGAGCAGCTGGGCGCACTCGAGGTGGCCGTTCTGGCACGCGATATACAGCGCGGACGCGCCGCCGCCAGTCGTCGCCCCGACGCTCGCGCCGCCCTCGAGCAGCAGCCGCACCGCCTCGGCCTGCCCGTGCCGAGCGGCCCAGGTGAGCAGCGTGTCCTGCTTCTCGGTGTCGTGCCGCGCGTCGAGCTGGGCCGTGGGCGACGTGCCGCGCGTCCGCCGCCCGGAGAGGAAGGCGCGCAGCGAGCCCAGGTCGCCAACCGCCAGCTTGGGCAGCCCCCCAGGGGGCAGAGTTGGGCTCGCGGCGCCGCTCATGCCGCCAGAAAGAAGAAACAGAAAGCGCAGGCAAAGCAGTACTTGGAGGGAAAGGGCCGTAAAGTAAACACGGGTCTCCGAGGGTTAGTACCGCCCTCCAGCTTTCCCCTTGCATGACGAGCAAATTCTCTTTTCAGTCTCAGCCCGCGTCGTCTCATTCGCGCGACGACCAGCCGACAATGTCCGCCGCCGCCTCCAGCAGCGCTCCCCCGGCGCCGGCCGCGGACCCGGAGGCCGAGCCGGAGGGGTTCGGCGCGTCGGACCTGCTCATGGACTCGGTCAACAAGATGGAGTGGAAGAACATCGAGGCGGCGCTCTCGTACCAGAAGAAGACGGTCGCCGAGATGCTGCGGCGCGCGTGCTCGCAGATCCGCACCAAGGGCGAGATGCAGCTGGACGACTCGAACGGCAAGTTCCTCGGCGACATGCTCGCCGAGATGGACGACTTTGCCTCCTGGTGCTACAAGACGCACATCCGGCCGAAGCTGGCCGCGCTGCCGCTCGACCTGCCAGAGGAGGCGGCCGCTGAGGGCAAGAAGGGCAAGAAGGGCGGCGGCGGCAAGGGCGGCGGCAAAAAGGGCGGCGGCGGCGGCAAGGGCGGCGGCGGCGGCGGCGTCAACACCAAGACGCAGATCAAGATTGACAACGTGATGCGGATCATGAACGGCGAGGCGGCAAAGTCCAACACGCTCAAAAAGGTGCAGGTTGGGGACCGGGCGGTGGGCTGGCTCGAGGCGCTCGAGCCGGGCAAGAACCTGGTGCTCGACGCGCCGTGGGAGCTCCAGCTCGCCAAGGAGATGGGCACCGCCGCCGGCCAGCTCGCCAAGAAGAAGAGCGACGGCGACAAGGACTCGGAGGAGGCGCGCTACAAGACGGTGCGCAACCTGGCGGACGCGGTGGTCATCTTCGAGACGCAGTACAAGATGCGGTACGGGGTCGAGGAGCTGCCGCCGCTGCAGATCCTCGCCGACGCGCGCCACGTCCTCGCCTCGCTCAAGGTCAAGGTCAAGTTCACAGTGCACAAGTGCCTGCCGCACCACCGGCGGGACTGAACCCACGCTGGATTCGATACTGTGGGGGTATGGTACTAGGTGCCTGCGCAAGCACCCGGCGCTGCTCTCCTCGTCCCAGTTCAAGGCTCGGCACGCGTCCAAGTTCCTGCAGCCGTACCCCTCCCAAGTGCAGCTCTTCAAGGCGGTCGCGCGGCCCGGGCCTCAGCTCGTCCTCCTCCGATCGCCCCCCGACACGGGGAAGACGTCGCTCGCGCCGGCGCTGCCGGAGCTGTTTCCCGAGCACCGCGTCGTCTTCTGCTGCCTCGCGCGCCGCGTCAACCTCGAGGTTGCCCAGACGCTGTACAACATGGGGATCCCGTTCGCGTGGGTGCACAACCAGCAGATCACCTGCTCCTGGCTGTGCGGCCTGCGCGGCTCCTCCACCTCCAACTCGATGGCACAGACGACGGAGGGGCGAGCGGCGACACCGCGGCGTCTCCTCCTTCCGAGGCGGGCGAGGTCCTGTCTCCTAGGCTCAGATGGAGGAGAAGCTGCGGCTTGGCGTGGAGCGGATCCAGGAGACCACGGGCGGCCTCTCGAACCAGCGCGCGCGCAAGCGGCACGTGCAGGCGAGCAGCAGCAGTAACAGCAGCAGCAACAGCAGCAGCAGCAGCAGCAGCAGCAGCAGCAGCAGCAGCAGCAGCAGCAGCAGCAGCAGCAGCAGCAGTAGCAGCAGCAGCAGCAGCGGCAATGGTGCCAGCGTCAGGCAGGCGAGCAGTCTAGTAGTGATCGGCGGCTCGTGCCCAAGCAGCCAATGAGAGGACTGGCCAGCGGATTCACCACGGAGTCGGCGCGCAGGTGATTCGGCCGCCGCGCATGTTCGTGACGGACGTCGCGTCCTGCTCCTGGCTCTCGATGCAGATGGACCCGCACAAGACGGTGCTCATCATCGACGAGCCGACGATGGGCGCCGACCAGGGCGGCGGGCAGGCGCTCGGGCCAGGCACGCTCACGCATGCGATGGTGTCGGGCATGCTCGACGCGCGCACAAGACACAGGGCTGGAGAGGCGGCGACCGGGACACGTCCGGGACATGTCCGAGACATGTCCACAGGCGCCGTATAAGACAGTTTGGATGTCGGCGACGCTGCCGGCGGCCGCGTACCTGCAGACGCCGATTGGATACTTCAAGGAGCGGATCGAGATCATCAGTATCGTTATTACCAGCAGCACTATGATCCGTCCTCTTGCCGCTGCTACTAAGGGGCGGATCAACATCATCACTACCAGTAGTGATGATAATCATCACCGGGAGTGATAATCATTCTCACTGCTGCTGCTACTGCGTCAAGGAGCGGTTCAACATCGTCGAGGACGCTGACGGCGTCGCCGAGCTCGTGTCGATGCAGCTCAACGTCGGCGTCCTGCTCGTCAAGGCGAATGGGCAAGTCGCGCTGCCGCACTCGATGGTCGCCGAGGCCGAGGAGCCGGCGCAAGCGCTCGCCGACTTCGTGGGGCGGCTCAAGGTGGAGCCGCTGCTGCTCAAGGTCATCTCGGGCCATCTCGGGCCATCTCGGGCGATCTCGGGTGACCTCGCCTCCAGGTCGAGCCGCTGCTGCTCAAGGCGTACACCGCGCAGGCGATCGTCTCGATGCAGGCGCGAGCGGATCTCACGAGCCGCGCGGGCGCCACACGCCGCGCCTGCAAGGCAGCGCGCGCCGTCTCTTGTTCTTGTAGGACCGGCTCGAGGAGGAGGACGTCGCGGCGCACGCTCAGCGGGCGGGCTTCACGGTGACGGCGGTGGACGACCACTTTTCGGACCTGTCCAAGCTGTCGCACTCGACGCTGCGCCACTATGCGAGCTACATGCTCCAGACGCTGTGCGAGTGCGGCGACGCGGCGCTGATCAAGGCCTTCTGCACGCCGTCGACGAACATGCAGAAGGCGATCTTCCCGCCGTACTCGACCGAGCAGCTGCTGCTGGGCAACGCGCACCACTTCCCCGGCATGACGCTCACCGTGTCCGCGCAGCCGCACAAGCAGATCATGGTGCAGTCCGGGGCGCGGGTCGCCGCGATGCCGCCGCCCACGAAGAAAAAAGAAAGATTGGTGGGCGGGGTTCTGTCTTCTAGGCGCTGATCGCCGAGATGCCGTCGCTCAAGAAGCTGAACAAGGACCTCGAAGCGGAGGAGGCCGCCGCGGAGAAGGTGATGTCCCACATGCCCGCAAGCTGCGAATGAAGGACGTGTATTGAATGGAGTCTATTGATTGCATGACTGAATCAGGTGATGAGCAACATCCGCAAGGAGGCGGAGAAGGTCACGACACTCTGAGCACAGAAACCGAGGTGGGACGTCGAGACTCTCCCTCGCCAAAAGAATTCTTTTTCTCGCAGGTCAAGGGGGGCGAGGACCGCGTCGAGGAGATCATCGCCGCGAAGCTGCGCGACATGGGTCCTCGCACCCCCCCCCTCTCCCGCCGCTGCCCGCACAGGGTCTCGCTCCTGCAGCGTCGAGACGTCCGTGTCTGTAGGCCTCTCCGAGTCGTCGGGTCTGCTCAAGATCCCCGAGGACTGCGTTGTCAACTCCAAGGCGCTGCCACCTCAAGAAGCTGCCACGCACTCACTCTTTCTCACTCCTGCCCGCGTCGACCAACTCCAAGGCGCGCACCTCAGAAGCAGCCACGCACTCTTTCTCACTCATGCCCGCGTCGACAACACTCCAAGGCGCACCTCAAGAAGTTCGCGCCGCAAATGGTCAACCAGTTCGACGGCGCCTTCTACCGGTCGGTGCCGTCGACCGGCGACTTCAAAAAGGTGGACTCGCTGCCGGTGGACGACACGTGGCGCTCGCTGCTCCTCTCGGGCGCGGAAGCGCACACGCCCGCTCGAGCCGAGAGGAAGGGAGCCCCGAGCGTCGCCATGCCCCCTGTCGGTAGGCGTGGCGGCGCACATGCCGCTCGAGCCGTCGCTCAACCCAAAGGGCGACATCGCCTACACAAACTACGTCGCGGACCAGATGGAGAAGGGCGCGCTCGCCGTCTGCGGCGTGACCAAGGACTTCACGTACGGCGCCAACGTGCCCTGCACGTCGGTGCTCGTCGATGTAGCGTCGGCCACCACCTCGGAGAGGCGTCGGAGGACAGAGTCGCCTCCCTTGTTTCTGCGCAGGCCACCCCTCCGAGAGTACCCGAGGATACCCGAGAGTACCCGAGAGTACCCGAGAGTACCCGAGAGTACCCGAGAGTACCCGAGAGTACGAGCAGGTCGCCCCTCCGATGTCGTCCGTCCTCGCGCTCAAACGACACGAGCTAGTTCATTCACTCATTTCACTCTCCATCAGGTGCTCGTCGACCGCGACTTCATCGCCAACCACTCGGCTAACACGCTGCGGCAGTTCGTCGGCCGCGTCGCGCGGACGGGGCTCGCGCCATATCTCCCCATATCTCCCCATATCTCCCCATATCTCCCCATATCTCCCCATATCTCGGCCGCGTCGCGCGAACGGGGCTCGCGCCGCTTAGAGAAGCGGAAGACGTCTTCTTGCATGCCACGTCGCGCTCGAGAGGACACGTAGTAGTCGAGCCGTGCTCGCGGTATTCGCATCGCTCTCACTCTCGCGGTGCTCTGGAGACGCTGCGCCCTGCCGTCGCCCCGCCCCGATGGTGTTGGCGCATTCACACTGCAGGCTCGCGCCCGTCAAACGACTTAATTGATTAATTAGTTAGTGCTGGCGCATTCACACTGCAGGCTCGCGCCGTTCGGCGTCGCGCAGTTCGAGGACGACTCCTTCCTCCCAAAGATGTGCGGCGTCAAGGACGAGCAGGGGGCGCTGTATTCCTTTTCGGACCTGTTTTTTCTTTTTTAGGTGCGGCGTCAAGGACGAGCAGGAGGCGCTCTGCATGGAGGCGACGCTTAAGACCAGAGCTGGCGCGACAAGAAGAACTCGCGCAGAAACCGACAGCTGGCGGAGAATAGGCGACGGCCAAGGCCATCCTCGCCGCGCGCCTCGCCGAGGAGGAGGCGACCGACTAGAGGGGAGGGGACAACGCCGCGGGGCTCGCCCTCCTGTCCCCGCCGCGTCCCGCGCCGCGGGTCGGGCGCCCGATGCCGCCGAGCCGTCTGGGCGGGCCTCTCACGCTAAATTGCCCCCGTCTCTTGCAGCATTCGGGGGCGTCGCGTGTCAGGAAAGTCCAGACCCACCGCGTGCACCCGGATGATAAAGGCTAGTTCCATTTCACTGTGGCACAGCTCGCGTTACAAAACTTTGATTTTGACCATTTGCGCCATTTTGTACCTCTCGGTGCCTTCCAGATAGGCAGCTGCGACAGAGAGAGAAGAATCTCTCTCAACAGCTGTTAATTAATTCGCTATTCGGAATGGGCCTCTATCTTGGGCGCCTAGCTGGCGATCGCATCTATCATATACTGTCTATCCTCCCCCTCTCTTCTTATAGCACTTTTCACGCCGCCTTGCAGGCCACGCTGCCGCAGGAAAGAGCAGTGTCGAGGGTGCAACCCTCTGTCTCGTCGGTTCCGAAGTAGTCGTTTTCCGAAGGCCCGCTTCCTGTCCCGGTTCCTACCGGCCCAACCATCTCTTCACACGGTCCCCGCGGGGCGCAGTACCCGCCACCACAAATCTGTTTCGAGCCCCAAACGATGTCACGCGCGCAGAAGTCTGGCGAGGAGTTCTTGTACATGTCATAGCCCTGCTTGATGGTAAAGCGCGGTCGGCACGGGTTCGTGTGGCTGTTAACGTTGTTGTGCGCGCGAACAAAGAAGCTGACGAGCGAGCGTTGCGACTTGCAGGCCTCTTCGGGTGCAAAGCACAAGGACTCATCAAAATGCTCCGAGGTAGCTCCCATGCAGGTCTCGTTGTATTTGCCGCTGTTTTCAATGTTCGTTTGGATGAACTGTCCTAGGTCCCAGGCACAGTGAGTGCAGGGGATCATGTAAGGCAGGGCCTTGATGAAGGCGGAGCAAGCTCCGAGTGCAGCCTTGGTCGGTGGTGAGTGATAGTTCACAGCCATTGTGTGGAACGTCTTCCAGAAGTGCGGCCCGAACACACGCGGATCTGAAGAGGAGCGCGAACCGCAGGTGCCCGGCGGAAAGGGGGACGGGCCCTGAATGATGCTGTAGTTGCCGTCGTCGGAAGCTTTGAAGCCCTGAATAATCTCAGACCCCATCGCCGAGTATGGGTCCTTGGCGCAGTTTGGGTCGACAGGGATTGGGTCGACGGAGTCCCAAAAGTACGTCGCGTCGAGGAACTGCTCGACGGAGCACGTGGAAGCTTTGGCATCCGAGCGACCGCACTCACACGGTGTCGGTGACGGCACGGCGGCCGCGAGCGGGCAGAGGTGCAGCAGGGCGGTCGACAGCATCGCACCACGACCAGAGAGGGGAAGGACCAGGAGAGGTGGAGCGCACTTTGTCAGGAGGAGCGCACTTTCCGTCACATGATTGCGACGTCCTTTCGGGCGGAGTTGTTCATGTACTCGGGCGGAATTAGTCACTTCTCACCTGAGTTGTAATACTACACTGACCTCTCCTTCTCTTGCGCCAAAAACGAATGTCCTGCGTGGTTGCCACGATGAGGTCGAGAACGCTGAAGGCCCCCGCACGGGGGGTCCCGGCCGACGTCATGCGCGTCCGGACGCGGCCCTCCGTACACGGAAACAGGATACTGAAGGCATTCCCGAACTCAAAACAGGATACTGAGGGCAGATATGAGCTCAGCTCAGTGAGATCTAGCTGCACATACCCTTAGTATCCAGAATAGTCCAGTCTGAAAAAAGTCGGTCCGATCGCGCGGAGCCGTCTCTCTGCAGAGCCCCCGCGGGCACGCCTGGTCCGCGGCGGCGAGGAGGGAGCGAGCGCCGAGAGCAGCGTCAATCCTGTGTGCGAGGGGGAGGGGAAGACACTTATGCTAGTAGGTCAGGGAGGTGTAGATGGTCGGGCTCAACCACCTGCACTCGGATGAGCCGCAGCCTAATCTCCGCCGTCGCTGCAGCAGGCAGCAGCTTGCCAAAGGAGCCGCCGGTCGTCGACTTGCCGTTGACCTCGGCGATGAAGTCGCCCACGCAAAGCCCGGCGGTGTCGCCAGCGCCACCCTCGACCACGTTGGTGATTTGGTGGTTGTTGGGGTCGACAGAGATTCCAAGCGTCCCGCCCTTGCGTGTGAGCGTCAGCGTTAGGGCGCGCTTCTTCGCGCCAGAGGAGCCGCCAGCCTCGTCGTCGGCGGTACTCCGCTTGCGGTGGGGAGCAGAGTCCGCGGCCGGCGTGATCAGTTTAAGCGCCTCGTCAAACTTCCAGCCGGCCTGTTGATCGCGCGGCACGTAGACTCCTTCGTCGGTGGGGAGGTTGAGGTCGAGGAGGCCGAGCACCGACTCCATGTGGTACGGGGCGGAATCGTCGACGTTGTACTTGAAGGTGTAGTCGCCGTCCGCGCCCGACTTGGCGTAGAAGTTGCAGTGGATCTTATAGTTGGCTGCCTTAGCCTCGTCGAACGGCACGGGGAGATAGGTCCGCACGTAGCTCCCCCTCTTGCCGCCCGACTTGCAGAGCATCTGCTGCACGCGGCCGCACCACCAGTCGAACCTACCCGCGCTGTCGTACGTGGCGATCACAACGTTCGTGCTGATCTCGAGCATTGGTGTTGCAATTGTGAGCGGCGACTCCGTCGGCGGGTCGGCGGCGGGCGCGGCGGACGCGGCGGTGTCAGAAGCGGCGGGGCCGGTGCCGGTGCCGGTGGCAGCGGCGCCGGGCGCAAGGCCGGCGGGGCCGGTGGCAGCGACGCCGGACGCAAGGCCAGCTGCGGCGGGCGCAGGGGGGAGGGCGGCAGAGGCGCGGTCGCGGTCGAGATCGAGCTTGGCCTGCTTGGCAGCGGCCGTGATCTTCTCTAGGCGCGACGTCGGTACGGCAAATTGGAGGACCTCGTGCCTCTCGGCTTCTCCTATGCGTGATGCCAGCAGAAAGGACGCTGATTCATGCTCAAATGAGGCACTGCGTGTCTCCTCGCAGCTGCAGCTGGCATCCGCCGTGGACTAATAAAACTGCGATCTCAGTGCCCCAGCACGCAAAATTTTCTCTGCGGGACTACCGCCCCGCACCCCGCCCGGGATGAATTCACACCTCTCAACAGCTGTTCACACCTGGAAAACTCATCGGATTTGGGCCACTTGCCAAGACGACTTGCCTGGGCGACCCCGGACCCTTGGCGGACGCGCATGACGTCGGCCGGGACCCCCCGTGCGGGGGCCTTCGAACGCTTCTAGACGCTCGCCGAGCCTTCCTTTCCATCCCATTAGGCAGCCTGGGAACGGTGGCGGTCAGAGGCAAAGCCTACGAGGGGTGGTGGAACCACATGTAACAGCCGCCGCCGGCTCGACCCCACGATAGCCTCCGAAGGCTGACTTTGAGGCACAACCATCGGACGACGTCAACGAGTTGGGTCGCGCTCGCGGTAGCCAGATGACCTCTCATACTAGGAGCATCGGCCATGGCCGCAGGGACGCGGGGGAGGGCGCTGGAAGCAACACGGAGCTCCGTTGGAGACGTTTTCAAGATTAGCGTGTCAGAGTGAAATGGAATTAGCCAAACTGCAAGAAAAGTTAATAAATCTCTCTCTCTCTCTCTCCCCAAACTGCCGTAAAAATTAAAAAACGCACAACGACTCTGAGACGAGATGGGATTTAGGGACATGTGTCTCCGCCCTGCACGCTGAGCGGTCTTTGACTTTTCTTTTTTGTGATCACCCTGCAAGCGCATGTTTGGGAATCACTGACTTGGTCTTCCCCACCTTATACTTGTCTTTGTGTCCACTTGAGTCGTTTTCAGTTAAACTTTACTTCGTAATATTTCTCAAAGCTCGAAAAGGACGCAAGCCACAGATAGATCTACGACGGTCGTCGCGCGTCGGTCGAGTATTGCAATACGCCGAACGGGCGACACTCGCTCTGTCGTGGCGCTGCTGCCCTGAATGGCTCCCGTGCGTCCAAAGGGGGAATACGCCGCCGCCGCCGCCGCCGCCGCGCTGCGTCGCAAGCAGCAGCACTTCGACGACGTCACGGAGGGCTACACGGTCAGCATCAAGGAACTCTTCAACAAGCTCGACGTCGACATGAATGGCAAGCTCGACAAGCAGGAACTGCGGGGCGTGATCACATTCGGATCCGACACAACCATGGGCCTGGCCGAGTTTCGCAGTCATATAGCGCGAATGGCAATCGCGCACAGCGACGACAGTGTGGAGGCGGCGAGGGAGGCTCTGCCGGGCGTGCTCGAGGAGCTGTCGAGCAAGCATGACTCCGCCATACGCACAAAGCAGTCCTTGATCTCCACAGCAGAAACGAGCATGGCTGGATGAGCTCTCGCAGGATCAGCTATGGTGGCACGGGAGGGTGCACAGAGGGCCAGCGCCAGGAGACGCCTGCACCGTGATCTCGGCGACGAGCGGGGCTGCAAAAACTAACCCGGATGCGGTCGGCCAGCCTGCATGGCTGGCGCCAGCAGCCCGTCGGTGGCATTGGAATGTGCTATCGACCTCGGCTGCGTTGAGGACAGCGGCTTGCCCGTCATGAGGTTGGCCTTGGCCTCGGGCACCCACGCGAGAAGCCACACGAACGCAAACATGAGAGTGGAGATGAGCCAGCCACCCTCAAATCCGGATCTCTGAGCTTGTGGGCCGGCGTCGCTAATTGTGAGAGCGCGCGTCGGGCCGGTGGTACGATACCGAGTTTGAAACGAGTTATGTGTATGTGGTATAGGCCATAGCAGCCACTAGAACTGGTCCCTGCGTGGGAGCTGCGTGCTCTGGCGAATGAGCAGAGTGTCAGAGTGCTGGCCATTTGACGATTTACTGATAAAATGGGTGGTTTACAACTTATTTGATTCTCCTGGCACCTGGGGGGAGGGTGGTATAATGGTAAGAGCAATGGAGTGGTGGTATTTCCTAGAGCACCAGCCCTCGCGTGGCGGCCCCCTCACTCCCTCCCCCCTCCCGGCTCCCCCATATCGCAACGCATCGCACGCGCTGAACGAGGATTGGTCGCAGACCCGGAGCGGATCACGGTCCCGCGCGCCGAACCCCAGCCGTGGCGGCCCCCTCACTCCCTCTGATGTGCTGCTGATGTGCACTCAGAACGGGCAAGAGAGACCTGTTCCTGGGTTATGGTCTCACCCTCGTGGCAAGGTTCGAGGTAGAACTCGACTCCGTCAGGGATGTGTCGACACCACTGCCATCATTTTTCAACCAGTACTTCTTACCTTTGATCGTCCAACCTTCGGGGTCTGTGCAAGCTCCATACGAGAGAGAGAGAGATTGTTTTGTCCCATACGTGCCAGCGGACTTGTGTAGAAAAAAAAGAGCACAAGTAATAGATGTACACGTATGGTGGCCACCCTCGCTGCGTGGCCTCCATACACCATAGCGGCCAGGCTCGCACTTGGAGCACTTTAAGCTTGAGCACTTGAGCACTGGATAGGGTCGATTCCGCATGGTACGGGACCCCTCGCTCGATCGTCTCGCTCACTTTAGCTCGTTAGAACCAACATTTGGGCCTGCAGCGCGATTTGGGCTTGATGAGGAAAAATATGTTTCGCGATCACGTGCTTGCACGAACATTTGCGCCTCGCCCATGCCGAAAGGGCACAGCACATCGGAGCTCGCTCCTCTCGCCGAGGACAGCACTAGCTCGAGCGCCCCCTCCTCCGCGAGCGGCGAGCGACCCGGCGAACATTGGTCTGTGCCAGCCTTCTTCGCACTAGGCGTGGGAAGCCTGTGGGCCTGGAACGCCTTCATCACGCCAACCAGCTTCTACGCCCTGCTCTTCGAGGGGACGCGCTGGGAGGACACCTTCCTTCCAACCCTCACCAGCTCCTTCACGCTCGTCGGCCTCGTCTCGATCCTCGCGCTGCAGCCACTCCTCCACCTCGTCACAGCGCGCCGCCGCGTCCTGGTCTCGCTCGGCGCCATCGGCGTCGCGTTCGGCGGCGCCTGTCTGCTGGCGCTGTGGCCGCTGCTCCACGGCAGCGGCAGCGCGCCGAGCCCGGCCGCCAGCGCCGCGCTGCTCCTTTCCTCTGCGGCCGGCGCGAGCGTCAGCCAGGCGGTGCTCACGGCGTCGCTGGCGGGGTACGCGACCGCGTTTGCGCCGCAGCAAATGTCGGCGCTCAGCAGCGGGCAGGCCGCCGCAGGGGTGGTCGTCTCGCTCATCAACCTCGCGCGCGAGGCCGCCGCCGCCCGCCGCCGCTGCGCCGGCTCCGCCGGCGAGACGGAGGACGACGGCGGCGCGGGCGGGCGTGGCGCGCTGGTGGGCGCGGCCTTGTACTTTGGCGCGTCTTGCGCCGTCGCAGCCTGCTGCGCCGCAGCCTTCGTCGCCCTCGACGCGCGGCATAGACCGCGTGGACCGGAGGGCGGCGCCAAGGGTGGCAGCGGCGGCGGCGGCGGCGAGGGCGAGGGCGGCAGCGGGCCTGTGGTGGCGTTGCTGCGGCTGGCAAGGGCGCTGCTGGGGTGGGAGGCGGCCCTCTTCCTCTGCTTTGGCGTCACTCTTTTCGTCTTCCCCACCCTCACCTCGGCCATCCGCGCGAGCGAAGCAGCCCCCTCCTCGTGCGAGTGGAGGCGCCGCTAGATCCCGGCCACACCTCGCCCACACCTCGGCCACACCTCGGCCACACTTCGGCTACATCTGGCGTGTAGGGCCCTCTACGTCCCGCTCTCCTTCCTCAACTTCAACGCGGGCGACATGCTCGGCCGCGCCTTTCCCTTTTGCATTCCGCGCGAGTCGCGCAGCCTCCTCCTCTTCGCCGCGGGCCGGCTGCTGTTCGCGCCACTCTTCGTCGCCTTCCGGCGAAGCGAGGCGGCGCGCGCGCATTCGGACGCGTTGCCGGCGCTGGCGCTGCACTTGTTTGCCCTCTCCAACGGCTGGCTCACCACCGCCATCTTTGTGCGAGCGCCGCGCGCGGTGGAGGAGCGAGACCGCCCTGCCGCCGGCGCGCTCCTCGTGCTCGCCCTCAACTCGGGCCTCACGGCCGGGTCTCTCCTCTCGCTGGGCGCATGGACCACATAGCATTTTCTGTGATCTGTGTATGTACAGTAGAAAGGAGCCGTCAGCCGAGCTGGGGAGCTCAGACGAAACGCAAAAAACCCCAATCCGCCGGCATTGCCAAGAAGGAAGAGATCATGGAGGGCCAGGGTGCGCGCGCACACAACCAGATCGCAGATGCAACCTTTTCTCTCTGCCCTCGCCACACGCTCCGCCGGATGCGTGGTCGGCGATCCAAACTGCCTCGCCGGCTAAGGTCCCCAGGCGGCGCTCGCCTGCGCCCCGCGCTGACGCATCTGCTCGAGTCGTAGTACGTGACCAAGGCGACACAATGCGATTTGGTGCTACGCGCGCCGGTGCGCGCCGCACCCCTACTACTGCTTGCCGAAGCAAAAGAGCACGAGGAACAGCATCATGATCAGCCCGACGACGGCGTTATCCGACAGAAGCGGCTGGATGTCGGCGTGCTGAACGCCCCGCTTCGACTGGATGGCATCGAACCGGTAGCCGCTCGCCGACACGCTCGACACGCACCAGCAAGCCAGCGCAGGTCCCAGCAGCCGCATGCCTGACGCGCAGCCGCCGCGTCTTGTCCCTGGCGGCGAGAAAGAATTTTTTGGAGGAATTTTCAGCCCCCAGAGAACGACGCGACAGAGGGGGAAGTGACAAGGGAGAGAACGACGAGAGTGGGACGGCCGCGAGGTGGCATGAAGGTTGCAGCGAGAAGCGGCGAGAGACTGCGAAAAGAGATACGAAGAGGCAGACTCCCCAGGGTGGCCGGTGGGCGACGGCTAGCGCATCACACCCTCCTCTCCTTAAAATCCCTGTGTGGTGGCGGCGTGCCGTTCTCCCATCCCTCCCTTGGGTTGTGTGTTTTCTTTCTTTCTTCTGCCCTCGGCTCCGGTGGTGTGCCGATTAGTGTACTAGTGGAAAAGGGTGCGCCAGTCCACACCCTTTGTTGTGCCAGTGTGCCGCTGTGAGAGAGGCAGCTTCCATGTTTCTCTCTCCTTGACGATTAACGACAGACGACTTCCGCAAGAAAGAAATCCGCCTGACGAAGAAAAGAAAGAGCCACAAAAGGACCCAGCTGAAGTCCGCCCCCCCATTTGCTCTAGTTCCTGTCATTTCGCGCGCCATTACCATGCCTCAGGGAAGGAGCAACAAGCTCGCCGTAACGGTGGCTCCGGGCAAGCGAAGCCTCAGTTCGTCCCCGCTCTCGTCGCCGATTGCGTTCCTCAGAGCCAGATTCCAGGGCCCAAAGAGCCCTCGCCCAGAGTCGCCGAGCGACGTCATCGAAGTCGATCATGGCGATGGCGTGGAGCCAGAGGTGGCTCGCAAGCAGAGGGAGATCGCAAGCTTCCTCGGCAAGGCCGTTTCGCCAGCGAGCCGCGAGCTCGCTCCTGCCGCATCGCCGGCCGTGCCGGTCACCCTCGCCGAGGCTGTCAAGCCGCTCACAAGGGAGGTGGTCGAGGCCTGCGCCACAATGGTGGCGTCGATGTACGAGCTTGACACCGCCGCAGCGGACGCACGCGTCCTCTTCGCTCCGATCGAGGCCCACGTCGAGAGTATCCAGTGGGCCTCCGCGACGTTGGAGGTGCACGGCGTCCTCGACGTCTCGCTGCCGCCGTTTGGCTACGCCGTCGTGCAGATGGGCGGCGTCTCCACGATGCTGCTCCTCTGGCGCGGTTCGCACACGATCATGGACTGGGTCTCCGACGTCGACGCGACGCCAGTCGTCTCCCGCCGCTGGTCCAGGGACGGGAAGAGCCCGATCCGAGCGCACGGCGCATACGTCTCGCTCTGCGAGAACGACCTCGCCGCCCACGAAGGCAGAATCGTCTCCCTGATGCTGGAGCACAAGGTGCAGCGGATGATCTTGACCGGCCACTCCCTCGCGGGGGGACTCGCGCACGTCGGCCACCTCTTCGTGCGCGGCCAGATTGAGCAGGGCGCGGCGCCGTGGAACCAGCTCGACCGCGGCGTGCACGTCTCCACCCTCGGCTTCGCCGCACCGATGACCATTCTCTCGGAGCCCTCGCTCGCGCAGCTCGACCCGGACGTGCACGGCGAGTCGCACGCGATCCTCGCCGACCTCAACGCCAACGCAGTCAACGTCGTGTACGGCGTCGACGTGGTGCCGCGGCTGCCTGGCTGCCTGGGTTATCTGAACGAGGTGCTCGAGCTGTCGATGCCGATGCTGGTGGAGAAGGCGGTCGACGAGGTCGGGACCAAGGTGCACCTGCCGAGCTACCTGAAGCGGCTCCTCGCGAGGGCGCTCAGCGCGCGCGACGGCCTGCGCGAGGCGTACATGCAGGTCAAGGGGAGCAAGGACGTGGAGACCCTCGTCGAGGTGATGATCCGGTTCGACCACGTGGGGCGGGTGCTCCACTACCCGCAGGGCGAGACGCCGGGCACGCTCCAGGTGTACGAGGGCAAGCGAATCAAGGAGGTGCTGGGCGAGGGGCCGGGCGCGCCCCTCACGACGGCCAAAGACCTCGAAGCCCTGGCGCACGAACTCGAGGCTGCACACGTGCGCTCTTTCGCCATGTTCAAGCTACCAGCCCGCGTCTGATCTGTGTGTGTCCGGCGGGCCGGCCGAGGGGGGGGGAGTGTCAACTGTGCAATGCGTGAGCGGTGCGCGGGGCTGGAACACACACAGGCCGGCGGGTGGAGCGTCGGAGGGTGAAGGCTGAAGGTGAAGCGAGTCGCGCCTCGGAACGCTCGGGCACATATCCTGTGCAGGTCCATATATGTGGTGGTTTGCGTTGTGAGCAAAGCAAAGTTTCTTTTTTATCTCGGGAGCTTGATTGCTTCAGGTACGTAAAGAGCTCTCCCTAAGCCACAGCTAAGCACGCATGCACTTACGGATCCCACCCGCCTCACTCTCCAGCCCCCGCGGCCTGTGCAGAGCACGTTCCCTGCACGCCCTTGTCTGCTCGCAAAAGCACGCCGGCGTCAACGCTCACGAGCCACCAGCCCGGCAATCAGCACTCGGCATCTCCCTTGGGCTGGGAGCCGAGCAAGGCGGAGCAGCGCGCGAGCTGCTCCTCGACGCGCGCGTGCAGCGCGCCATAGCTGCCTTCTGCGTCCGCGGCCCTCTCCCCCGGCGCCGGCGCCTGAGAGTCGGGCGGCGCGAACCGCTGGGGCGGGGACCGCTGCTCCACGCACGGCGAGGAAGGCCCGGCGCTCGCCTCGCCCACAGACGCAGAGCTCGCATGCTCTGGCGCGTCCCCACAGCCGCCGGCGAAGTGGCCGCAGTGGCGCTGCTCGTGCGGCGCGTGACTGTGCGAGAGCTGCGCCGCGTGCGCCGGCGGCGCCACGTGCGGCGGAGCAGCTGCGCTCGCGGACGATGCAGCCGCCGCGAGCTCGCCGGCAGGCGGCGAGTGGTGGGGGGAGAGGTGGTGGGGGGAGAGGTGGTGGGGGGAGAGCGGCGACGAGGCAAACGGAGCCACGCCGCCCTGGCGCCTTGGAGGCCCCACCGCAGAAGGCGGAGTCCGCGGCTCGAGGCGTCCAGGGAGGCTGGCGTGCCTTGCCGGCTGCGGCTGCTGCTGCGGCGGCTGCTGCGGCTGCTGCGGCGGCTGCTGCGGCGGCTGCGGCTGCGGTGGCTGCTGCGGCGGCTGCGGCGGCTGCGGCTGCGGCGGCTGTGGCGGCGGCGGTGGAGGCGAGTGCGGGTCGGGCGGCGAGACCAAGCCCGGCGAGGGCGGCCACGGAGCAGTGGAGCGGTGCGCGGCGCAAGCCGCCACAGCGACGCGCGCGCCCGAAGGTCCGCTCGGCGGCCAGCTGCCCCACTCGGCGCCATCGGCGAGCGCGTCGGTCGGGGGAGCGCCCCGGGGGGGTGTACCGAAGCTCTGGCGGCGGCTGGGCGCGATCGGGTCTCCGCCGTGCGGCGCGATCTGCGCGTACTCGGCGAGGTCGGCGCCGAGGACGTGCAGCCCCGCCTCCATGGCGCGGTGAGTGCCGCGCATCGCGTCGAGGCGCGCCTACCACCGCCGGAGAGACTCACGGCGCGCGACTCACGCGAGGGCCTGTCTCAGGTTCTCTCCCCCCCCCCCCCCCCCTCGGCTCTGGAACCTCTCGGCTCTCTCTGCCCCACGACGCCCTTCTAGGAAGTGCTCTAGCAGGAGGAGTGCCTGGGGAGGGGGCTAGCGGGTGGCGCGCCGCGGAGATAGCACGCTCGGCCGCCTCGCCGACCTCTTCTCGCAGCGCGCACCGCTCCAGCCGCGCGCGCAGCTCCTCGACCGCCGCCCGCGGCGCCATCTCGGGCAGCCACTCCGCATGGATCGCCTCGAGCGCCGCCGCCTGAGCCGTCGCCGCCGCCTCGACGGCTCCGATGCGCCTCGCCGCCGCCTCCTGCGCCTGGCTCGCCTGCGCCGCGCCGCGCGCCGCGCTGGCGGCCGCGCCCTGCGCCTCGTCTGCGACAGCCTGCAGCTCCGCCTCCGTGGCCTCCAGCCGCTGCTCTGCTGCAGCGAGCCGCGGCTCGAGTTCGCTGCGCAGCTCGGAGCAAGCGCCGACCGCCTTGTGGTGCACCGCCTCCACCGCCGCCGCCAGCTCCCGCACCGCGCCTTCGAGCGCCGCGCGCGCAGCCTCATCCGCAGCCACACGCGGAGACAACGCGGCGAGAGAGGCCTCGAGGCTCGACGCGCGGCCCGCAGCCTCCGCCGCCGCCGCCGCCGCCGCCTCGCTCCGCGGCAGCGCCGTCGCCACCGCCTCCTCAAGCGCAATCAGCCGGCGGTTCGACGCGGCGGCCTCCTCCTCCGCCGCCTGGGCGCGCGCGTCCGCGGCGCGGTGCAGCGACGCCTCGGTGCTCGCCACGCGACGCACCTCCTCGCGCACCTCCGCCACCGCCGCCTTGTGCGCCGCCGCCGCAGCCGCACCCTCCCGCTCGGCTGCTGACACCGCCGCGCGCTGCTCGGCGTCCCGCTCGCGCGCGTGTGATGCGGCGGCCTCTTGCTCGGCCTCGAGAGCCGCGAGCCGGCCGCTGATGAGCGACGCCTGCTCCTCGAGCGCCGCCGCCAGCGACGCCACCGACCGCTCGGTCGCCGACGCAAACGCGCGCACCTCCTCCCTCTGCGCCGCCAGCTCCGCCTCGCGGGGCGCCGAAGCGAGGTCACTCGAAGCGAGGGCCTCCTGCAGCCGCTCATGCATGCACTTCTCCACCGCTGCCGCCTGACGGGCAGCCGCCTCCTCCGCCGCGCGCGCCGCCGCCTCCCGCGCCCGCGGCGCCTCGCGCTGCAGCGCCTCCACCTCCCTCGCCAGCCGCTCCAGCCGCTCCATTCGTCCACCACCGCCGCCTCCGCCTCCGCCTCCGCCGTCGAGCGCCTCGGCTGCTCTGGCGGCGGCGGTGGCCGCCGCCGCCGCATCCTGCTTGGCTGCGGCGGCGACGGCGCGCAACTCCGCCGCGAGGGCGGCCTCGCGCTCGCGCGCCTCCGCCGTCGCGGCAGCGGCCGCCGCCTCTGCCGCCGCGCGGAGTCCCGCCTGGTTCTGGTCGTGCAGCGAGCGGAGCTGCGCGTGCACGGCGTGCAGCAGCTCGCGCACCTGCGACTGCACATCGGCCACCTGCGATCGGAGCTCCTCCGCCACTGCCACCGGCAGCGCCACGCCCGCTGACGACCGCACCGCGCCCGACCGCGGCGGTGGCGACGCCCATCGCTTGGGAGGGCCTCGGCCAGCCTCGAGCAGAGCGCGGCGGAGCTCCTCATAGTCGATGGCGCCAGAGCCGTCGGGATCGAGGGCGTAGAAGAGCTCGTTGAGCTCGTGCGGCGACACCTGCAGGCCCAGCCCCATCAGCTTGCTCCGCAACTCACCGCGTGAGACGAGCCCATCCTCGTTCCGGTCAAGAGCACGGAATAGGTCGAGCACCCTTGCGTGGTTGGCGGCGAGCGTGGCCGCCAGCGCGGCCGGGAGAGAGGGCGGCTCCGCCTCGCGGAGCGTCCTGCGCTGACGAGAAGTCACCATGAGCGGCATATGTGTGTTTGTGTGCTCCGCCGGTCGCGCCGGCGGGGCGTTGGATTTCTGAAAAAGAGAATTTTACGGCCAGGTAAAAAGAATTTTTTCTAGAAGGGAACGGACAAGATTCCCCTTTTCTTCCCCCTGTGATTCTGTTTCTTTCTTTCTGCCCTGCGCAGCCCGATCCCGATCATCCGGCCCGCTGGTGTTGACAAGATCGACTTTACAACGAGAGAGTTTAAACAAAAGAACTCTCTCTCACAGCAGACAGGCTCGACACAACGAGAGAGAGCTAAGCTAAAAGTAGTAGTACTAACGAAGGCGGGGGCTGGGCAAGGGTCACACAGACACCGGACTCACCACAGGACAGGTCATCCTCTCCCATTAGACTAATGGTTGTCCGGTGGCTGTTACGAGCAAGGCGTCGTCGTCACACGCAGCAGCTTCTTCTCGACCTTCAAACGTTGCGGCGCTTGAGCCGCACAGACCCTCAGATGTTGAGGGGCATCGCGTCCGACACGGTGATCCATGACGATTGATTTAACTGGCAGAGTGCCATCGCCCTCGCTGATGGCAAACTCGCCCTCGCTGATCTGGACAACCTTTGCGAGCTGACACCAGACGAAGGGACCGTAGCAGCCTTTGCAGACGACCCAGTCGCACTCGCGGCAGACGAGGTATGGCGAGTTCTTTTCAATCTTGACCGCGCACGTGTCGCAGCGTGGCTTGCCCGAGCTCCCAGTCCGTCGTTCTTCCATTTGGTGCGTCTTTGGGCAGTGCGTAACATTGGTGATGATATCGCCCTCTGGTGTCACGTTCCCAGTCGCGAAGCTGACGATGCGGCCGCTGGTAGTTTCCTTTGTCTCGGTCACCTTTCCATCGGCGCTGACTTTGATGCGGTTGATGCCGTCAGCCCCTTTCCGCGCCAAGACATTCTCGCGACCCCTTTCCAAGACAATCTCCCTCGTAATGGAAGACACCTCGGACAGGTCGGAGCTGCTTTCGCCCCCCGTTTCGCCCGCTTCTTTGGCGCTGCCAGACGGCGCAGCAGGTCCGCGGGGCGAACCGCAAGCGTCGCACGCCTCACGTGAGGGGGTACACCAATGTGAGGGTGGGGATGCGGTGTCGTGCAGTGTACTCGGAGCACCGCGTGAACCCAGTAGATACGGCCGATACAGCGGATACGCGCCCCAGTTGGAATACAAAGATCCGTGTCCAGCGTCTAGGTCCAAGCACCTTGCTGGCCGCCGCGTTGATCATCGTGCAAACTGTACATATCCACTCCTCGCCTGCAGGCGCACGCCACGCCTCGTGGCGCACGCGCTCCTTCTCATCTGCCGCTGCTGCAGCCGCTGCTGCCTCACGCAGACGCCGCTCTTCCGCCTCGTGCGCATCCGGGCCACCCGACGCCAGCCCCTGCTCCAGCACCGCCGCCGCCGGCCGCCGCCCCGGGCTCTCCTGGAGACAGCCCTCGACCCACGAGCCAAGCCGCTCGCTCGCGGACTTGCCCTCGGCGATCGCGCGCTGCCGCTTTGCCGCGTCGAGCGCTACGTTGCCGATCGTGCGGCCGAGGAGAAGCTCGGCGAGGATGCAGCCGGCGGCCCAAACGTCGTCCGCCGGCCCGTACCGCTTGCCGACGGCCTTCTCGGGCGACATATACGCGTCCGTGCCCACCTTGGTCTTGGTGCGCGAGCGGCGCGAGGCGAAGACGACGCAAGCGAGCCCGAAGTCGATGATCTTTGCGCGGCCCGCCGAGTCGAGCATCACGTTGGCCGGCTTGAGGTCGCGGTGATGCAGGTTGAGCGAGTGCATGTACGCGAGCCCGGACGCGACCTGCCGCATCAGCGCTGCAACCTCGGGCGGCGGCGGCGCGGTGTCGATCTTATCGCAGAGGGAGCCGCCGGTGAGCAGCTCCGTGACGATGACGAAGAGGCGGCCGTCGTCGGTGTCGTGCCAGAAGGCGTCGTAGAAGCGCAGCGTGTTCTCGTGCTCGATCGTCGAGAGTAGACGCGCCTCCTTCTCCAAGCCGGCGCTGTCCAGCTCCTCCGACTCGATCATCTTGACCGCGTACAGCCTTGCATCGATCCCAGCAACCTTGCGCATCCGGTAGGTGACACCGAAAGAGCCCTTTCCGAGCCGCGCAGCGAGCTTGTCCTTCTGGCCGACGGGCGCGTCCGGTTTGCGGTCGTACGCGTAGAGCGGCATCCGTGAGCTGCGGTCCGGCTCCGCGTTGCCAATGCCCGTTGCCGAGAGGGTCGCCATCATCGCGATGATCTTATCGAGCTTGAGGCCCTGCTGTGCAAAGCCCTCGCGCATCTCACGCGTCAACTCCTCTTGGAACTCGGCGTCGGACACGCCTGAGGCGACAGCAACGCCGCGCACGACCTCGCAGTCCTTCTCGAGCGCATCCGCGTCGACAGCCTCGCCCAGCGCCTTCCGCTCGGCCACCTGCCGCTCCACCTCCGCCTCCACAGCGTACTCGCGCGCCTGCAGCCGGTCGAGGATGTCCGCGTCGCGGGCGAGGTTGTAGAACTTGAGCAGCAGGTCGAGCTGGCTGGTGATTTCCGAGTCGAGCTGTGAGAAGGCGTTGCGCCTCTTGAGCGCTTGCCGCAGCCAGCCCTTCTTGCCAAAGGCAGCGACTGCGGAGCGTACGTCATCGAGCAGCCGCTGCAACTCGCGCATCCGGTCCTCGACGCTCGCGCGGCTCGTCGCGTCCATGCGTTTCACGTTTTTAGCCATGAGCTGCAGCAGCTCGAGGACGTCAATCGTGCGCTGGGCAGCCGATAGCACATCGCTGATCACAGTTCGCGACTCTTGCACGACTTGAAGGACGCCGCGAGCCGCGCCGCACACCACCGGAACAAGAGGCAGCCCGGCGCCCTCGCCGATCTTGAGCACGGTGTCGACGAGCATCAGTCCCGTTTGGACCTTGTCGAGCGCCCGCCCCACCGACGCGAGCCGCTCGACACCAGCATGCATGATAAACGTCGATTGGAGTCCGGAGACCGTTTCGCCCGCCCGACAAAGCGAGCTCCGAGCTGTCCAACTAACTGACTGGCACTCTGATAACTTTTGTCCCGGACGGCGTATCTCCGGCATCTCGCATGCGGCGTGGGGCGTCGGGTCGATGCGGAATGCGTGCGTCAGCAGGCCAGCACGACGTTCTCCCGACTCCCGCGGCCCCTGCGCTTGGGGGAGGGAGTGGGGTGGCTGCGGGTTGCTCACCCACGGCACCGGGCCGGTGCTTGCACTTTGAATGCCGTGGGGCTCCTGCCCGTGTCCGGGCGTGGAGATGCGAGGGTCGCCCCCCCTTGCCCCACCTCACTTTGTGTGTGTGGAGACGTTTGGGCCTTACACCTTACCTTTTACCACTCTCTATCCCTTCCAAGCTCGACGTCCATCAGCATGGCGAGCGTGAAGTCTTGGTAGCTGAGCCCACCCAGCACCGTCGTTTGGCACCGTACCACCACCAGCTCCTGCCAGCGCCGCCTCTCGCTCAGCCGCCGCTCGAGCGTCAGCACTGGGTAGTGGTTGTTGTTGAAGGCCACTGCTGCGAGCGTCGAGACGAGCCTGGAGCCCTGCACAAAGTCGGCGACCTCGATCTCGCGCATGAGGGCCGTGCCATCGTCGACGAGCGCCCACGAGTCGCTCACGCTCGGCAGCAGCTTCGCGCACTGCTCCTGCGAGAGCGGCTTGCCGTTGTTCTCATACGGGTCGCACACGCTCGTCGGCCGGCGCGCGGTCGGGTCGTGCCTCCCTCTCGGAGGGCGGCGGCCCGCGGACGTGCACAGGAGCGCAGCGGCGTACGGCGCGGCGCGGCAACATGGCCTCGTCGGCCGGGCGAGCATTTCGGCTTGCAAAGAATTTAGACAGCCCAACTCTCACTCACTTGCAAAGAAACAACGCCAAGAGGGGAATCCCTGGGACCCTGTCGTGTGGGTGAACCCTGCCCAGCCCCCCTCCGTGTCGCGATGCGCTCCCCGCTCCCGTTCCCCTATGTCCCTGATCGTCCTTACAAGATCCTGCTCGCGCAGGTGGGGACCACCCTGTCCTTCTCCCACCCCTTGTTTGGGAGAGAGAGAGAGAGATTTGTTTTGCTTGTTTGGTGTGTCCGTTTTATTTATTTTATTTATACAACGACAAGACCAAGGCACGGGCAGAGGATAGAGAGAAGAATATAGGGTGGATAAAGCGCCTAGCCCGAGTTGAGCTCGTCGAGCTCCTTGGAGAAGAAGGAGGCGCTGACTTGGCGATCTTCGATGCCTCGCGCCAGCACATGCGCCTCGGTGATGAAGGAGCCGTTGACCGTGAGCGCGCCGTCGTGAAGCGTGAAAAGCGCCTCCTCAATCTTGACGTTGACCGCTAGACCCGGCGCGGAAAGGAAGCTGTAGAAGGCGCCATTGCGGCCGCGGAAGTCAGCGCGTCCGCCATACGCAAAGTACAAGTGGGGGTCTTGGAGCACCTACTCAAACCCGAGACAAGTGTGTCCGCCTCTGCCTTTGCGCATGCAAGAGAGGCAGCGTCGCAACGCGCCTTAGCATCAGCTCTGGGCGGCGACGCAAACGCGGGTGGTGAAGACGCTGAGGGCATAGACGCCGGTGGCGGAGCTGTAGCCAGTGGCAGCGGTGGCGGCGGGGAGTCGCTGCTGGCAAGGCTGCGGGGAGGGGAAGGGGGACCGGGCCGCGGGCCGCAGTCTGCGCAGTCGGACCCGTATTGGCAGCGCGGCCAGCCGTATCGCTCCTTGAAGTTCGTTTCGTCCCCAGGGCCGCCGTCTTCGCATACGCCGTTGCCTCTGCTGCCGTCTAAGGCGTTCTCGGTCGGGCCCGTGTTGGCGTTGGGATTGAGGCGCAGGCAATCGTTCGTGCAATATGCATTGTACGATGGGAAGGCGGCGTACACGTCGTCGAGGGTGAGAATAACGCTCTTGACGGCTCGGTTGTCATGGCCCGGGCCTACTTTTTCGTTCGAGGTTCGCTTCGTGCTCCCCGCTTTGCCGATGACGCATCTTCCTCGCGTATCTGGGGCCCCTGACCTGTAACGATAGACGTCGCCGACATCGTCTGGGTTGGTTGCGGGCCCTGGCGCACCGACCTTACCGGCGAACTTCGCCCGTGCCTTGTCAGTAACGAGCTGGAGCGGGTCCCAGTTGCTTCCGCTGTTTCCCATCTTGTTCGACTCGCAGCAGAAGGGGGCATCACGGGCGTATCCGTGCGCCTCCGCGTATTCAATGCAGAACCTTGCACATTCACTCTCAAAGCTTAGGATGTCGGGCTCCCTTTCCTCGAAAGCACCTCCGAATGCCCGCTGCTTTCCCTCCTCCCTTTTCCATTGGGGGTATTGGAGCAGCGTCATGAAGGCCTCAATCTCTAACTCGCGCAGGAATGCGTCTGGCTCATGCTGATCTTTAGCACTCATGTGCCCTTCCCCTGATCCGCACAAGACGTCGTCCATGCTGAACAAGTTCGAGTTCCAGACCTGCGCTCTGCTGTACGGCGGCAAGGGTGGCGTTGGCGGAAGGGGCGGCGTTGGGGGCGATAAGTCGACCCACTCGGTGGATTCGCGAGGTCCACAATCCGCACAGTCCGTGCCATAATCGCAGCTTGCAGAAAGGGCATCAGCACCACCGTCGTCGCAGTAGCCATCCTTGACAGGTCGGGCAGGTTTCTCGCGAGCAACTTCTCCGTGGTTCGGTCCATAGGAATAGGAGATTAGGGGCTCTATCTGAATACCCTCCGCCGCCAGAAACTCGCCCCACGTTCCTGTCCCATCCTGTGTGGCGGGGTTCAGTAGTTCAGACGCCCTCTCCTGCGTCCCTTTGCGATTCGTGAACGTACAGGTGTCGTCGCAGAGCGTGACCAAACGGCGTCGCTTCCCGCTTCCGGTCCTGCCGTGCGGCTCATGGTCGCCCAGCGAATGCGGTAGCGAGAGCAGAAGCGCCCTCCACGAGCGCATTCGGCAGAGATAGCAGCTCTGCAGGTCGTGGCGCCAGGCTTCAGTCGGTCTCCGAATTACCCAAGTTGGCAATTCCATCTCCCGGAATCTCCGCTCAACCTCGATGCTCGGCTTTTGGCGATGAATTTCAGTAAACGTACTTTTGAGCACTTGAGCACTGGATAGGGTGTCAAGTGGAGAGGAGTAGGGCGTACGCGGTCGACTAGCATACGTACGTCGATAGTAGTGTGTATCTGGTGGTGGTGTCTGGTCTGTGTGTGTGTGTGTGTGTGTGTGTGTGTGTGTGTGTGTGTGTGTGTGTGTGTGTGTGTGTGTGTGTGTGTGTGTGTGTGTGTGCTGTATAGAAACTGGCACGGCGCGTGGGTAAGAGACGCCAAACTCCAGGAGGATCCGCTTACGCGCTTCCTGCTGCGGTGGGACGAGTTTGAGGTCGGGACACGGGCGCTGTCCGACAGAAACGGGACGCAGGTCATGATGGGCAAGGATAGAGAGCCGCTTGGCTCGGAGAAGGGCCGTGAGCTCAACGCGGAGGTTGCCAGGATATGCCTCGCACTGCACAGAGCGCGGCCCTTCACGCACCTCGCTGCGACGGATGGGGGATGGAGGGAGAGACATGCCAAACAAGTGGGTGGGGGATAGGTTCGTACCGCGACCAGTAGTGTCGTATGGGGTGTACGAAGGGCCGGCCCGATTCGGGAGACCCGTCGAGGGATCTGAACAGCTCGAGAGCGGGGACGACAGATCCTCCAAACACGGTGCCCGTGTTCACGTGGGAGAACGATGAAGTGGTCGTTGGTGGCAACGCAAAGATTCGCTGTCAAGTCACGGCTGTGAGCGCGGCGGAGAGTGCGCAACTGACGAACCAGGAGCACGTGCGCCTTAACACCCTATGGGCGGAACCAACGAGCCAGGTTGAGAAGGTGAAGCTGGAGGCCATGATCCCTGATACTAGTGCTGGCACAGAGATCGCGGCTGCAGACATTGATGACACCCTTGACGGCACAGTTGAGGGGTGGAAGACGCCCACCAATACTCGACGCAAATGCGGGCCCCATGTGCGGACCTGATGGTTACTGCCAGCACCCGTGAGCTGAAGTTAGTCTCGCCTTGCCGACGTGCGTCCTTGCTGCGTCGCACTTCTCCTTCCACGTGACTGGTTATGCGCAATTCAACGCGTCCCATCGGATGGCATGGATAGCACGTACGCGTACGGGTGCGCCCACTATTCGTCGATAGCTGAGCTCGTCTCGCGCGCTGCCAACCAACCACTTTCGATTGTTTGTCTTAGGCTGAACCCATGTTTCCTCGCTCACCCCGTCTCGTGTTTCCTTTCCGTGTTTGTTTCTCTACAGCACCCTCTCGTTTCCTCTCTAGTTTCCCGATGAAACTCCGCAAAAATCGTCAATTTCACGGGCTCTGAGCCGAGTCTGAGGCTGGTTTGGGCCCAGGTATTTTGCCGGTTTTCCTCGGTTTCGCCTCAGATTTTGGCCCAGACCAGCTCTCAGATAAACACAGCAAAAGCTCTCGAAGCGGCAGCACGAGGACGAGGCGAGCTGGTCGACGCGGTCGTGGCTGTCGCTGCAGGCCCAGCGCATGTCAGTCGCGCTGCAGCTCGCGGCGGCGGAAGAGATTGCGACCGAGCTCAGGCTCGCCGCGGCGTCGGAGGACGCCCGCCGCCGTCCGTCGCCTAGACTCCCCTGCGTCACTACGTGCCTCCCCGTCTTTTTAGCCTGGCGTTTGTGCCCCGTTTGTGCCGCGTCCCGTGCCCCCGAGTTCATTATAAAAAAGAATTCTTAATATATTAGCCTCAGCAAAAGAATTTTACTATGCAGCCCAAATCACACAAAAAAAGTCGCGCTTGCGCCACCGAGTGCCGCCCCCAAGCCCTCCCCCTCCGTCGTCGCCGCCGCCATGCCGTCACGGGTCCGCTATCAGTCCACGCGCGGAGGCGTGCACGGCCTCGACTTCTCCGACATCTTGCTCTCCGCCTATGCGCCGGACGGCGGCCTCTTCGTGCCCGAACTGTCGACGATGCCAAACCACATCGCCGGGCTACACCCGGGCATGACGCTTGCGCAGGTGACGGCACGCGTGCTCGAGCCCTTCACCGGCATCGCGCTCGCCGACTGCGAGGAGATCTGCGCGGCCGCCTTCCTCTCGTTCAACAACGGGCTCGAGCCAGCTCTGCCTCTGGTGCGGGCGGGCCGGCGGCTGCTCCTCGAGACGGGCGCCGGGCCGACGCTCGCCTTCAAGGACATCGGGCAGCAGGTCGTGGCGCGGCTGCTCAACCACGTGCTCGGCGGGCGCGGCGAGCGCGCCACCATCGTGGTCGAGACGTCCGGAGACACGGGCCCCGCCGCCATCGAGGCGGTGCGAGGCTGCGAGGCGGTGCGCTCCTTCTGCCTGTACCCGCGGTGCCACCCTAGATCACCCGAGATCACCCGAGATCACCCGAGATCAGGTGCGCATCTTCTGCCTGTATCCGGAGGGGCGCGTGTCGCGCGTGCAGGAGCTGCAGATGGTGACCGTGGACAGCCCGAACGTCTTCGTCTACCGCACGGAGGGCGACACCGACGAGCAGGCCGAGGCGCTCAAGCGCGTCTTCGAAGACGCGGCCTTCATGCGGCGCCACTCCGTCTGCTCGATCAACTCGATCAACTGGGCGCGCGTGCTCGTGCAGGCGGGCTACTACCTGTGGGCGTGCCAACAGGTCTCGCCCGCTTCCGACCGGCCCGTCCACTTTGTCGTCCCGACCGGCGCCTTTGGCAACGCCGCGGGCGGGCTGCTCGCCAAGCGGCTCGGCGGCGCGGTCGGCAGGATCGTCTGCGCGACGAATTCCAACGATGTCGTGCATCGGACCATCTCGAGGGGCGACATGTCGATGCGCGCAAACCAGCAGACTGTCTCTCCGGCGATGGACATCCAGTTCGCGTACAACGTCGAGCGGCTCCTCTACTTCTGCTCGGGCGGAGACGCGACGGCGGTCGCCGCACTCATGGCGACGCTCGAGGCGGACCGAGCCGTCGCGCTGCCTCCGCCGCTGCTGCACGCCGTCCAGGACACCTTCGTCTCCTGCGCCGTGAGCGACGCGCAGACGCTGCAGACGATGCGCGAGGTTTGGGCAGCCGACGGGTACGCGCTGGACCCGCACTCCGCCATCGGCGTGCACGCGCTCCGCACCACCCCCCGGACTGAGCCTACACTCTGGATTCGGTACTCTGGAGGTATGGGACTAGGCGTGCACGCGCTCGACCACGTCGAGTCCGTCCGCGCCGCGTGCGAGGGCGGGCGGGTCGTCTGCGTGCTGACCGCGCACCCCGCCAAGTTTGAGGAGGCCGTGGCGGCGGCCGGCCTACCCGCAGCCGTGTGCAACGACCCGCGCGTCGCGGCGCTCGAGCGCAAGCCGAAGAAGTTCCGCCGGCTCCGCGACCCGAAGGCGGCGAGCCGACAGCTCAAGCTCGAGGCGTGGGCGAGCGAGGTCAAGCGGGCGGTGGAGGCGGAGGCGGCGGGGGAGGCGGTGGAGGCGGAGGCGGCGGCGGCGGTGGCGGCGGCTGTGTCGCCGCCTCCTCGGGTCTACTCGGAGAGAGAGGTTGCGGCGGCGATGGGGCGGGTTGCGCCGCGTGCAATCCTCGACGCGCTGGCCGCGGGTTTCACTAGCTACTCGCAGGGCCGCGTGTCGGTGCCTCCGATCCAGACGCTGGGCCAGCCCCCGCTGGGACGGTTCTCGGGCGACAGCAAGGGCGACGGGCAGGCGTGCATCAAGTCGGCCTACGAGGAGGGGGGCGAGGTCTTCGTCGCCAAGGTGGCGAGCGGCGGCGGCGGCAACAACTCGGGCCTCGTGCTCGTCTTCTCGCAGCGCACCTTCGCGCCGCTCGCCGTGCTGCTCGACGGCGGCCTGTTGACCGAGCTCCGCACCGCCGCCGCCGGGGCGCTCGCCGCGTCGCTCTTCGCGCCGGCGGAGCCGCACCACATCGCCGTCATCGGATGCGGCGTGCAGGCGCGGTACCAGCTGGGGATGCTCGCCGCGGTCACGCCTTGCCGCGCCGTTCGTCTGTGGTCGCGGCGACCCGAGCAGGCGCGCGCCTTGGCGGCGGAGCTCGACGGCGGGCCGGCGGGGTGGGCGGCCGAGGTAGCGCCGTCGGCGGAGGCTGCGTGCCGCGGTGCGGGCATCGTCCTCACCGTCACGCCAGCGAGGTCGGCCATCGTCCGGACGGCGTGGCTGCGCCGGCCAGTGGTCGTACTCGCGATCGGCGCGGACTCGGCCGGCAAGCAAGAGCTCGAGGCGGGCGCGCTGATCGAGGCCGACCTGGTCGTCGTCGACTCGCGGGCGCAGTGCGTCGACAAGGGCGAGCTCCAGCACGCCGTCGCAGCGGGCTTCGACCCGGAAGAGGCGAGGGAGCTCGGCGAGTGCATCGCGGAGGGAGGGTGGGGGCGCGGCTCGAAGCCCAGTCGCCCCGAGCTCGTGGTCTTCGACTCGACGGGCGTCGCGATCCAGGACGTGAAGATCGCCGAGCTGTGCCTCGCCGAGCTGTCGCGGCAGCCGGCGGTGCCATCGAAGTTGTGATTACTGTAACATTATGTGTATGCCATGGTGAGAAGTTTGTCAAAACACTACACTGTAGTCCGTGTACGGAGAGAGATACACACGATGATCATCTCACGCGGAGGTACCATGTCGGGAATCGTAAACAGTAAAAAGGACTAAGTATGACGTCGCTACAATGTGCGCGCTCAACCTTCCATGACAATGTGCGCGGGACAGACACGGAGACCGGAGGAAGGGAGGGCGGCTCCTCTCTCCGAGGTGGAACACGTTCACACCGGGACGCCTTATCTGGTTATCTCTAGCATGCGGCGGAGCCGCCCCGCAGGCAGTGAGGGGGGCCGCCTCCCCTCTCTTCGTCCCGAGGGCTCATAACATGGGCGATCCAGCTTCCTTTTCGATTGGACGGACGAAATGATCGCGGGAAAAGCGGCACCGCTATCGCGACATCGGGGGTTCACCATATGCCGAGCCTGCTCGGCCTGCCATGCGCGCGCGCGCCTCGCCCGAGCGCAGCTACCTGCGGACCTGGCCAGCCTGTTCCTGGCTCGTGCCCAGCTCTCCTTCCGCTGCCGCCAGCCTCGCAGTCCCGCCAGCCATCACGCTGCAGAGCCTGCGCAGACGCCACAGACGCCAATTCTGCAGCCCACAGCCCTCGCTGGCAACTGAGGGCGAGGGCCAGCAGTATACGACGACGACGACATCTCACACCCCGCGCTGGCCAGCGCCATCAGCCCCTCACGGCCCGGCCCAACCTCCCTTCGCCTCGCCTCCAGTGCCTCCAATCAAGTCGCACCTCTCTTTTTCAGCGAATGCTGGAATGCAGCGGCAGCACCACGTCAGAGGCCGGGCCGACTGGCGGACTTGCATGCCCAGCCATGCCCCCCACTCCCCACCCGCTTGGATCGATCAGCTGACAGCTCCACCAGCTCCCACCACACCGCGTGTCGTGTCATGAAGCATGAGATAGACATAGAAGGTTGCTTCCCCCAGGATTAGTCTCGGCTAATGACGTCGAGGCGCAGCGCGACCGCGGGCCCGTAGGGCGAGAGGCTGTCCTCTGTGACGCCGGGAAACATCTCGAGCCAGGTAGGCCAGCGGCCAGTCGAGAGCGGCATCAGCACCGCCGGCTCTCCGCCGCCGCGGGTGGAGAAGGGCTTGGCGTTGGCGGCGAGCATGTGCAGCGCGTGGCGGCACTGGCGGTACACGGGCAGCAGCCGCTCAAACTGCACGACCAGCGCCTTGAGGTCCTGCTCGCTCGACGCCCCGGCCGGAAGGAGCTGCGCGGCGATAAAGTGAGGCAGTGCGCCCTCTGGCAGAGACCGCAGCTGGGGAAAGCGCGTCCACACATCCGCGCCCATCTCTACGCGGAGGTGTATGAGAAGCACGCCCATGGCGGCGAGGCGGAGGCTGGTGAGCATCTTGGGCACCGGCAGCTCCACGCGGGAGGCGGGTCGAGGAGCACCACGCGGCGAGGAGAGCCGCCCTTCTCGCGCGCCGCGTTGGCGACGTGCTGCGCGAGGACCGCGCCAAAAGACGCGCCGAGCAGGTCAAAGGGCGTCTCAGCAAAGACAGCGACCAGAGCAGCCGCGTACTCGCTGACCATAGATTGCCGCCGCGCCAGCCGGGTCGAGGGCGAAAGCCTCTGAGCCGTCGAGGCCACGGTTCCGGAGTGCATAGACGTCGCACGTCTCGAGGGCGCCGCTCCACAACCTCCCGTAGCCGCGGTGGTCGCCGAGAAGGCCGTGGGCAATGACAAGCGGGGGCTGCTTCGAGGCTGCCTTGGCGCGCCGCAGGAGGAGGAGGCTCGGGTGGCGAGGGTCGACGACCGAGGGCTGGACTCGTTCGTCGGCGTGGGCAGGCGGGGGAGGGTCGTCATCGGGAGTGGTTGTGCGGCGACGGTCCTGCCACACCGCCCTCAGAGCCTCGAGCGGGTCGACGCTGGGCTCCTCCGCGATGGCAGCAACGAGGCTCAAGGCTAGCCCACTCACCTCAACCTGTGCCTCGTTTGCTGCTGCCGCAGGAGGCGCGCTCCCGCTCTCGGTCGCTCGCATCAGCGTGTAGGCCACGGGCCTCCCCGATGGCTCTGCGGCATCATCACGCGGGACAGCTGCGTCTAGTGCCGCCCTCAGCGGCTGACGAGCGAGCACTGTCGGGCTCAGGCGCTGCGAGGGCTGCCGCATCAGCCCGAGCGTCCCTGCCAGCCCGACCCGCGATTGTACCGCCAGCCACGCAGCAAACTCGAGCGCTCGCTCCGAGGCGGCCTCGACGCCCTGCCTGCTCTCTTGAGACAGGCTGCCACGAGCCGCACTGCTCTCCGCCTCGGCGACCCGGTAATCTGCGGCCTCGCTCAGCACCATCCCCGGTCCACTCACCTCGCCGTGCAACGCGCAGACGAGCGGGATATGCAGTGCCAGCAGGCCGGCGAGGGCGGCACTCAGCTCGGTGGACGAGTCGTTAGCAGAGCCCTTCCAGCCGGTGCTAGTCAGCACAAGCGCGCGCGCGCCTTGCTGCCTCGAGATGCCGAGCAGCTCCTGAAGGGCCGCCTCGAGCTGCCTTGCGAGAAGCGAGGCCCGCACGCCAGTCAGCTCGACGGCTGCAACGCCCGTGGTGCCTTCGAAGGCGAAGCGAGCCGGCGGCACCCTGCGCCGCCGCCGTCGTGCACACGTGCTGCACGAGGCCGACGCCTCGGGCCTGCGACGCGCTCAGCTTATCATCGCGCAGGTAGAGCTGCATCGCAGTGGCGTGCCCCACCACCTCGGAGAGGCTGCGCGTGAAGAGGCCGGCCGGCGTGAGGCCGCGCGAAAGCTCGCCGTACTGGAAGGTGGCGTCCTCAGAGGCGACGATGCAGTCCGTGAGCAGCGCGATCGCCATGCCGCCGCCCAGCACGGTGCCGTGCACCGCGCTGATGACTGGGACCGGCAGCGTGCGCAGCGCGACAAAGCCGGCAAACAGGTCGATGACCTCCGCGCCGCCGCCGTCGAGGTTTTGAAGGTGTCTCGGCCGAGCCGGTGCGTATTGCCGCCTGGACAAAAGTGCGACCCTCGCCCCTGCAGAACCACCGCCTTGACTCGAGTCGGCGGCTGCGAGCGAAGCCACAGCACCGCCCGCAGCATGTCGTCCGCCATCTCAGCGCTGATGGCGTTGAAGTGCTCGGGGTCGTTCAGCTCGAGCACGGCCACGCGAGCCGCTCGGTCGACGCTGAGCTTGACGAGGGAGCCGGAGCGAGTCGATGCCCGCCTCCATGAGCGGCGTGTCGGCGGTGAGGCCGCCTGCGCCGGTGAGGTCCTCCAGCACCGACAGCACGGCCGCCTCGACGTGCGGCTGGCGCGCCGCGGGAGGCAGCCGCGAGAGCGCCCTGCCCATCTCGCTCTCCACCGCTGGTACGGCGGCGGCGGCGGCCTCGTGCGATGGCGCAAAGGCGGAGAGCGCAACGGCCGGCGACTTGGCGGCGCAGTGGGACGGTGAGGCTGCGATATTTGGGGAGCTCGCGAAGTGCACCGGCCTTGGCCGCCTCGGCGGGCAGCCTGCTTGGCCATCGAGCAAACGCCGTCTACAATGCACTGTCTGACGACCACATCCCACTCACCCAGTGCTCATCTAGAGGCGAGAGGCTACGGCCTGATCACTCTCCGCGGACGGTCGCATCACAACCGATCCGACGGCGACCTCCTGCCACAGCGACACGTCGCGCTGGCTCGCCTCGGCGCCTCGGTACGCGTCAAACTCGGTGCGCTCGCACGAGCAGCCGCCGTCGCACGTGACTGCACCCTGTCCCATCGCCGAATAGGACGAGAGGTACATCAGCGCGATCGAGATTCTGCGCGCCGGAGCGACGGTGCAACGCCCTCGCGCGTCCGCCGCGCAGAGCGCCGATGTATCCAAGCGGAGCGTCAGTCGACTCCCGGGCTTTGGCCGACGGGCGGGCCCCGGCGCGGCCTCCCATTCCGTCGCCGTATCCGTCTCCGTGTAGCGGAAGCCGTCGGCGGCGACGACGGGGGGCGGCTTCGCTCGCGACGCGCCCCACGCGAAGCACGCCTGGTCGATCTCGTCGCCCCGCCGCTGGTTACGCGGCGCTGCCACAGCAGCGGCGGCAGCGGGCGGGCGCTCGCCCCTCCGCCACCGCCGTGCGCGTGAGGCGAGCGGGCGGCGTCGAACACGGAGTGCACGTACGACACCACCAGGCTGCTCAGGAGCAGCGAACCGCGGCAGGCGCCGTGCCCGCCGCGCTCCAAGTCGTCCAGCGTGCAAAAGGGCGGGTGCAGGCTGTCGCTCGTGAGGTTCCGCGGATCGAAGCCGGCGAGGCCGCGCGCGACGGCGTCGGAGAAGGCGGCGCGCGCCGAGAGGACGGGCAGGTCGTAGTGGTCTGCCAGCTCGTTCAGCGGAGCCTCGCGCCGCGCCGCCCGCGCGAGGCTCGAGTTGAGGTACGGCTGCTGGTAGCACGAACCATCTGCGGCCATCTGGCGGTTGGACTTGAGGCGCACGTGCTCCGGCATGCGCTGGCAACGGGCGTCACACGGCCCAACCTCGGGGTCGCACCAGCGCACGAAGTTGGCGAGGATCACCGCCGGCGCGCCCTGCAGCGCGAGCAGCCGCCGCAGCACATTCTCCAGGTTGGAGCGCTGCTCGTCGATGACCGCCGCGTCGACTACGATGACGTCGGCGCGCGGCGGCACGAGCTGCCGCGTGCACGTCCGGTACACGCCGAGCGGCGACCCCGGCTGCGCGACGTTGACTAGCGTGGAGTTGGGATGGCGGTGTCGATGCGGCGCGATTGCGCTCGGGCTCCAATCCGGCGGCGCGTGCACGCGCAGCGCCCGGTCCAGCGCGCCAGCGGAGCTGAGACGCACGGCCGCACCGAGGTTGCAGCGGCACGCGGTCCACGGCGGCGTTGCGCTATTCGGGTCGTCGGTGAGCGTACCGAAGGATCGGCCGCGGCGCCGGCGGCGCGACGGGTGGCGACAGCCAAACGAAAGCGGTGGGCGTTACATCACGCGCGAGAAAAGACGGCAGTGTAGCGTTCGGGCTCGTGCGGGCATAGGTAAAAGGTAATGCAAAGTGCTGTTCGAGCACTCGAGCCAGCTTGCTGTCGATGAAGAGAGTGTTGCGATGCTGCCTCAGCAGACGGCGGAAGAGTAGCAGCTCATCCCGTGTAGAGTGGAATGACG